AATTTAGATATTTTTAATGAAACTTGGCAACCAATATTAGATGCATTATAGTTATTACATCAGAACTAATGGTATTATTTTACTATGTATTTAAATCAAATGTCATAATCAAAAAGTAATATCCCCTGTAACATATTTCTTTGTAAAAGAAATGAATATAGGTTTTGTATCTGTAGATAGTATGCACTGTGTTTTTTCATGATTTGCAAAACATTGTCTTGTAGTATGCAGATTAACGCTACTGTATATAGTTAAATTTGTTGCATGTTTATTATTTTATTACATAGTATATGAAAAAAGAGCCAATAAAAAAAACCCATATATAGTTCTTTTCGAAATTGTAGACGTATATGTCATTTCGTGGTGGAGCGACTGACACACACAACGCTTTGACGCATGTTAGGGAGCATATGTTTACGAAAGAGAAGGGTGACCGTCCGGGGGCGGAAGACGTTCTGGTCATAATGACGGACGGGGGTTCGTCAATTCCAGAAGAAACTGTGAAAGAAATCTACAAGTAAGTAGGATATATCATCGAGAAAAAGGGGATCAGAAAGGAGGGATTTTCATCTTCAGTAATTCTCAGAAGGACTTCTTTTGCTAACCAATTGCAACAGCCAAAGAATCAAATAAGCTTTTCTGATCAGAATTTTTCTATCGTACTTTTAACGGTCTTAAACGCCAAAATGTAACTCTGAAATTCTAGGTGGCTCTGTGTTCATTTTCATTAATAGCCTTAAACGTCAGAATGTAACAATCTACGTGGTGCCAGTCGGGAATTGTAAGTTTTACTGGAACGAAATTTACAGTATGGCCACCAGCTCACATCACGTGATCACTGATTTGAATCACATTGATACTTTCACAGCAGCGCAACTCCTGTGGAGATGGATCTGTAGAGGTAAGTCAAAAATCCCCAAACCCATATTACTCTGACATGGAGGATCCTCAGACAAGCACATTTAAAAAAAATGTTTTATCAACTGTTGCATTTAGACAATGAAATATGTTGCACAATTGTAAACATTTAATAATTACATGAAAATAGTTTTACAATCCGTTCAAAAGATCACAACACGATATTTTCGTTGGTATATTTTCTTTCTTAATAACTTACTTTTAACTTTTTTTTTTCTTTTAAAAATGTTTTCGAACTCTCTATGTGAATTTCCAGCAATGTTTAAACAAGTATGTAAAATAGTTCACTTAAAATATAAATGCTCTCACAATGTTACAAATTCAATAAATGTATGCCCTGTGTTTTTTTCAGCTGCTACAACATTTTCCACATTCACGTCCTTGACTTCGAGAAGGCCACACAATCCTGTATTTATTCCACTTTTTCCGACAGCACCAACAACTATATCTCCAAAAACAACCAACCCTCAACATGTTTTCTTTACCGCCAATATCATACATCCATCACACCGTAAGTATCGAATATGTCTTTCCCCTTTGTAATTTAAGAAATCATGACCCTCTACAAAGGGAGGCAATTGAAACATTTATATATCACAATCTTTCCTTTCAAACATTTTCTTCTTCAGCAATGAATAATCTCATATTTTACATGCACAAAGTGAAAGATTACCATTCCACAACACTATTTATTTAAATAATGTCAATACAAATTCAGATTATCCAAAGGTCATACTACATAAAATACTTAATACTCAAATAATTTTTTTCTATATTGTTGACTCGCACATAGAACTCAAGCTATATTTACGCTATATTTTGAGAAAATATTTTAAAGTTAATTGTACGAGTATATCAATTATACACTGCTGAAAATTATAGGGCGCATCAGCGATACCATATTATATTCTAACCGCAACGTGTTGCGCAAGGAAATATTTTTGCTCGTATCATCTACGCTCCAAACCTAATAAATGATAAATATACATGTAAGCACCGAGAAAGTATAATCTGACTCTGAAGTTAAAAATTCTAAAGTGGCGGTTTGTAAAGACTGAATATATGCAAAAGAAATACAGAACATATTTCTTTCTCACTTTTACAGTACCCTGTGTTGACGCTGATCCAGACTGTCCTACGTACCCCCCGGACGTCTGTACAGCTGATAAAGACTGGGCCAGGAGCAGCTGTAGAAAGACATGTGTCCTGTGTGAAGGCGAGTAAAACATAAATATTTATGCAATAGGAAGTGATTTAAGGTATGTCACTCGTGAAATTTGTTATATCAAGGATTTTTTGAGAAGTATATTTTGGATAAGTACTTGTATAGTATGACTCAAAATCGCAGAGAAAATGGGGGGTCAGTGTACATATAACTGAGCTACGGTACAATTAATTTGACCTTTTTGCACTTAAATTGTAACTCTTTGGTTAATCACTTTAACCGTTATCACATTTTATCAGATGTAACCATGGCAATAAACATAATCTTATTTTACGTAAAATAGTTTGAATAATATTTATCATTGAACAAATCATGCAAATTAATGCGCGTAAATTATTGTGGGACCTTTTTGCACTTAAAAAGTCTCATATTTGGGGTATCAAAAATCTAAATAGGCAATAGAATATTTTCTTGTATCAAACTTTTTACGACTTAAATGCTGATCGGTCAGTAGTATCGAGTAGTTTAAAATAATGAAAGAAAAAGAAATATTGGTCAAAATATGCGATTTTCTGGCAAAAAACTGTGTAAATTTTATCTTGACTTCTTTAATATATCTTCTTTTCTTGGCAAAGTTTGTTGAGCAAAGGGGTAAATTTTGTTATAAAAATATAAATTGATACCTATATTCAATATTCCAGGCATATCATAACGGAAAATATTCTCTGAGTAAAAGTATGTGAGGCTAAAGTTCCAAGATATTAAATTCAATAAATGTGTTGATTTGCAGAATTTTCTGCTAAATATCCTTCCACCACAAGAAATAGTCCCTTATAAATCTTGCTTCTTTAAGAATTTTTTAGCTGTTTTTTAATTGAATGTTGAACATTTTACAGTGTTTAATTCAAATATGTTATAGAAATTGAATTGTAATGAATAGTTTTGTAGTTAGAGGTTCTGACTGAACTTTTCTAAAAGGCTGACGAGTGACATACCTTAAATATGTTCTACCAATAAAAATAAACAAATCATTGATTAAATCAAAATTTATTTTATACATTTCAAAATAAAAATATATCCAGATCAGGAACAAGCAACGGTTGAAAAAAGGTTTACATAGCTGCCGATCATGCTTAAGAAGTATGCAAACCTGAAAATTCTTCCTATATTTAGATAAAACTCGTTTTTTTAATATTCAGTGTATTCTTCCACCACTAACCACGTTAGTGTTTTTTATTAAATGTGAATACCGCCACCTGAACTTGACCATATCTCGTCATGTTTGCTTTTTTGTGGGATGTATTACACATGTTTGACGATTCTCATACCAGAAGCACAATATATTACAGCTTCTCACACATATAACATTATTCCTGCGTTATATATTTTATTTGCATATAGCTTTATTACACCAAAATGTTTTACTGTTTATTTATTTCATGTTGCATTATCGAATATTACGACATAATAAAATAAAGTTTATCACGGGTAGCATTACCACAGCAGAACATCAGGTTCATGCAGGTGATCATTAAAAAACCAGTCAAATATTATTTTATAGCTTCTAACCATTCAATAACTTGTTTATGACGCTTCCAACAAAGCGAGGTGTTGTCTGCATAATATTGCTTTTATCTCTAGGTATCACATGCTTTATGCTACTGATATTTCCTGTCACTGTTATACCTTCAATGGTTTTTCGTAAGTGTTTCCCTATGTATCTGTACTTTTTATCCAGATAGTGCCTTTATACCTTTGTAATTATGCATACATTTATTGAGCTTCCTGTTTTGTTCCTTACAATAGCTTGATGACTGTTTTGTTAACCGATGTTTTTTTTTTTACCTTCTTAGTGTCTAAGGTTGTTATTATATGTTATTTCCTATACTTACTGTCGTTATTTTTCCTACATAATATTCTGACTGTCAGTAAAGCTGTAGGATATCACTGGTGTTTTATCCCTATATTACCTTCTTATTATCAGTAAGGCTGTAGGATATAACCCACTTACTGCTGATTTATTCCTATATTACCTTCTTATTATCAGTAAAGCTGTAGGATATAACCCACTTACTGGTGTTTTATCCCTATATTACCTTCTCATTATCAGTAGGGCTCTAGGATATTACCTTCTTACTGGTGTTTTATTTCTATATTACCTTCTTATTATCAGTAAAGCTGTAGGATATTACCTTCTTACTGGTATTTTATCCCTATATTACCTTCTCATTATCAGTAGGGCTCTAGGATATTACATTCCTACTGGTGTTTTATTTCTATATTACGTTCTTATTATCAGTAAATCTGTAGGATATATCACACTTACTGCTGATTTATTCCTATATTACCTTCTTATTATCAGTAAAGCTGTAGAATATTACCTTCTTACTGTTGTTTTATCCCTATATTACCTTCTTATTATCAGTGGGGCTGTAGGATATTACATTCTTACTGGTGATTTATTCCTATATTACCTTCTTATTATCAGTAGGGCTGTAGGATATAACCCACTTACTGGTAATTTATTCCTATATTACCTTCTTATTATATTACATTCTTACTGGTGTTTTATTTCTATATTACCTTCTTATTATCAGTAAAGCTGTAGAATATTACCTACTTACTGGTGTTTTATTCCTATATTACCTTCTTATTATCAGTAGGGCTGTAGGATATAGCCCACTTACTGGTGATTTATTCCTATATTACCTTCTTATTATATTACATTCTTACTGGTGTTTTATTTCTATATTACCTTCTTATTATCAGTAAATCTGTAGGATATAACCCACTTACTGATGTTTTATCCCTATATTACCTTCTTATTATCAGTAGGGCTGTAGGATATTACTGGTGTTTTATTCCTATATTATCTTCTTATTATATTACATTCTTACTGGTGTTTTATTTCTATATTACCTTCTCATTATCAGTGGGGCTGTAGGATATTACATACTTACTGGTGATTTATTCCTATATTACCTTCTTATTATCAGTAGGGCTGTAGGATATTACATTCTTACTGGTGTTTTATCCCTATATTACCTTCTTATTATCAGTAAAGCTGTAGGATATAACCCACTTACTGGTGTTTTATCCCTATATTACCTTCTCATTATCAGTAGGGCTCTAGGATATTACATTCCTACTGGTGTTTTATTTCTATATTACCTTCTTATTATCAGTAGGGCTGTAGGATATAACCCACTTACTGCTGATTTATTCCTATATTACCTTCTTATTATCAGTAAAGCTGTAGGATATTACCTACTTACTGGTGTTTTATTTCTATATTACCTTCTCATTATCAGTAGGGCTCTAGGATATTACCTTTGCTCACTTACATTATTTTCCTTTTATTAGTGTTTGTGTACTTAAAAAAGCAGGCTTCATATTTTTAGCATACCGCTAAGAAATCATTTCTAAATACAATACATGGCAAGGACATGATATATACATGTAGGTATTGCATGCTACTTTTGCAATGATTCCTTTGTATCATCGGCTTACTTACTCGTGCAATTAAATATACCCTAAAATTGCCTTTTCTTAGATACTTCGTTTTCCCTAGCTGTTTTTATATAAAATATCTGTAATTCAACACCAATGATGTAAAATTTGTAATTGATATATGATTATACAAGAAATATTTCTATTTAATATAAACAGGAATTAGAAAACATAAAATATAACAATCTGAAATCCGTAGTAAGAAAAATACGCTGATTTACGATAGTGAAAACTTTAACTATTGTAAAAACTTTGATACTATAGTAAACTATAGTTAGCTATAGTATATTTTTGTTAGGGTAGTATTTCTGCCGATCCTTAGTTAGTTCCATTTAGACTTCAATTTTAACTTACTGCTACTTTTATATCTTGATATTCAGTTATCATCGCATCGTTGTTACTCAGTAAAACATCCAAAGATGAAACAGATGTGGCAAAATCTGGGGTATCTTTTATTTCGAGCAGAATGGGATATATCGAGCCGACAAATGAAGTAATTATTGTTAATTGATAAAACGTCGTCGATATATTTGAATTTGGAGTGCCATAGTTACTAAAAATAGAAATTTCTGTGAATTCTTTCAAAACGCTACTCCTCTTACAGTTTTAGTCTGATTTCAATACAACTCGGCACAAAAGTAGACTACATTAAGATTCATAATTCTCTTTATCGGCTTGGTAGAGCATTGCTGGAACAGGCAAAGTTTCGTTGTTTGTAAGGATCTTTATAAAATTTAGGAATCCATTATAGGTAGGGTAGATCAAACACCTTCATTGATAAAAGTATTAAAGACTGAAATGTGATTTTGAAGAGTTTAATCCTTAGAAAGTGATCTGAGTATAAGTGGGATTTCCAAACGTAGAATTAAAAAAAGTTCCTCTAAAATACAGTAATAATAATGAGTCAAATAAAGATGATATTGTTATAAGCCTTGTCTACTGGAACCATAACATTGTTGTAGTCTTTCTTATTCTTTTATCACCTCCGAAGACGGAACGATAATTGGTTCGCATAATGCCTTTTAACTTTCTTATGGTTTTTAATATATTTCTAAAATACATAATCCATTTTGTCTAACTGTTGAGATCTTCCCCTTCATATTTATTTTTACTTTACTAAATTTATCTTTTTCATAGCAATGATGTTTTGTAAAACAAATTGATTAATTAAAATGGGTATATTTTATTCGGTTTGTTCAATGGAACCTCTCTAGAATGGCTAAAATTATTAACAACAAACAAAAAAAAAAAACGCACAAACAAGCAATAGAAAATCTAGAAAAACTTGAAAATATGTCTAAGAGGGTTGTAAAAAATGCGAAGTCGTGGCATATAATTTACAGGTTCTTTAGTTACAACATTCTACAATAAATAAGGGTACTAATATGCATAATATCATATATTCCAATCAATTTTTGCATGAAAATAGAAAGGCTTGGCCGAGGAAAAAATATAGGTTATCCACCGACAACATTTGCCAAGGTTATGTATACATGTACGCATACATGATTGAACAGGTCTGGTAAGTGACGGGAATGGTTTTGAGTTTTTCATGTTATGGTCGATCTAATGCAAAGGACCGGCGCTGGGCATTTTCATCTTTTAAAAAAAGATAATCCCTTGAGTACCGTGTTGTGCAAACACCAGCCAAATATGGTCCTTCACAATTTCCTGGCGTTTATTGACATTAATATTTCCGTCAATAGCTGAAATAACACTAAACATAAACCAAAAATGCATATCACATCATGATTTGTAACTTGGGTTTCTCGTTATCGAGAAAGGGTCTACATCCTTCAACTGATTTCCCCCACACATCAACTCTTGGAGCCTAACCAATCTTTATCTTACTTATATGCAAGTAATTTTATCTTACTTCAATAACATATATATGCAATTGATTTTCATTCTCCACTTTTCAAGACATTAGGAAAGTTTTGCATGACTCTGCAAATCTTGAGACTTGACCAATCAACTTTCCTTAAAATGTGGAAATGTAGATTTTAATGAAATATATATTTTGAAGTACCGACAACAATATCCCCTATGCCAACAACCACTCCCAAACCGACATCAACTACATCCAAAGCTACAACAACCACTCCCAAACCGACAACGACTACTCCAAAACCAACAACGACTACTCCCACAACAACCACTCCCAAACCGACAACAACTACTCCCAAGCCGACAACAACCACTCCCAAACCGACAACAACGAACCCCAAACCGACAACAACCACTCCCAAACCCTTAACAATCACACCTAAGCCTTCAACGACAGCACCAAAACCACATTTTCAAACAGGTAAATCATAAGATGCTTGAAAACAAAATGTTTTGTGATCACCTGAGTCGCTTTGGTAGCCAATTTGTATCCGATTGTGTCAGGCATCTTTCAATGTTCGTCTTTGTCGGTCGGTGTGTGTATTTTCTATTTATTTTTGTCAAGAAGAATTATTTGGAAATGGGGATTAGAGTTTTTCAAATGGCGGAGATGATAAAAATTGATGAAAATACTAACATTCAAATTTCCTCAAAAACCACGAGTCTAGAAATGACAAAATTAAGGTGGAAGTTTTATTGTGAAGCTTCAAGTCAGATCAAATTACAGTCCCTGTCGCAGAGATGGGGCTAAAATGGTTCAAAGTTTTATATTAAAATGTATGAAAAAGATTTCATGAAATATATGGAGATAACGAACAGTATTCAAGCTCAAAAGTCCATTAAACATTACAAAATAGGTGCAGAGCAAACAAGGACCTCCAAAACATCAGAGGTGGGATCAGGTGCCATGAGGAGTGAGCATCCCCTGCCGACCGGTCACACCCTCCGTGTGCTCCTTGTCATGATCGGGAAATAACGGAAAAATTCAGTGTGTAAATAATGGCCTAACAATAAGTATAAAAAACGTCAGTCAGCATTTGATCAATGATAGATTGTATTTGCTGACAAGGTCATTATATCGACCATAGAACTTACGAAATGATGACTTTAAACGAGACTGCTGATATTCTTGTTTCATCAACTTGTTTGTAATAATTTACCTCGTTTTAGAAATTGTACATACGTAGAGCATGCTCTGGCGTATCGAATCAACTGAGAGATATAAACCCCGTATGCAGGTGATGACGATATATTGCTGCATAAGTAAGGGAAGTTGACGATTGTAAAGTTAGTCATCACATTTATCATAAAGCTTGGCTGTTAGATTACCATTAACGTCTTTTTCAAGTAAAATATCCAAATATGAAACAGATGTGTCAGACTCTGTAGTATCTTTTATCTCAAGCTCACCGGGATATATCGTATCGACATAAGAATGGAAATAACAATTGTTAATTGACAATACGTCGTCGATAAATCTAAATGTCGAGTTGAAGGCCACAGCAAGTGTTTTCTTCTTATCACGTATAAGATTGTGGACAAACTGTGCTTCATATGAATACAAAAAAAGGTCTGCTAATAACGGGGCACAATTGGTACCCATGGAAATTCCAATAGATTGTTGGAAGACCTGGTCTCCAAAAACCACATAGATATGTCAATCAGAAATTCGAGCATCTTTTTAATGTCAACTTCAGAGTACTTGTGTGTACAATCAGAATGTTTTTTAACAAAATAATTTTACAAATGACCAATGACAAGGTAAGTAAATCTACGAGTTCCATTTTTATTGAAAAAAAACAGCTGTCAGTGATATCAGAAAGCCTGGATTTTAATTTATCGTGGGTATGGTTGTGTATAAAGTTGAAAAGTCGTAAGTTTTTAAGCTGTTGAATTTGCTAAGATCTTGTGATTTCAAATTTTCCAAAAGTTCCTTGGAATTTTTAAGTATCCACATCTGATTTACATCACTTCTCGAATATATTGTTGCACAGTACTCTTGAAGTTTCCCCTTCACTACTGTTAATATCTTAGTGAGGAGTACAGAAAGAGGCTTAGTTGAACATTTACTGGAACCCGCTATGTATCTTTGTAAGGATTTTTATGAAGTTTCGGAATCCAGTATAGATATGGTAATTCAAATTCATTTTGGTTGTTTTGAATATTAAAAATATTCAAAACTGACATATGATTTTGAAGAATTTCTTCCTTAAAAAGAGAACTATGAGTATAAGTTGGATTACCACTTGTAGAATTAAATCCAAGTTCCTCTAAAATACATTTAATATATTGAGCCTTACAAAAAAAGACAATGTTGTTACCTGCTTTGTCAGCAGGGACCAGTACGTACGGATCATGTAAACTATCTAAATTCTTTTTTCACTTCTGGAGGATAGATGGTTCTCATATTGCCCCTCAATCTTTTAATGCGCGATTTTAACATACATCTGATACACTTAATCCATTCTGACAAATTGTCAAGGTCTTCTTTTTCATGTCTTGCCCATCGCCTGGCGTAATCCTCTACAGAATCCATAATATTTATGAAATTCCGACGCCAGTTTTAGGATCGGGGTTCCCTATATTTAGGACATTTAAAATTAGTAATCTAAGGTCCTCATTATTACTGTAGATTCCTTATTTTACGCGAGTACTTAATATCGCGAAATGGCCCAAGGGCGTCAAATCGCGAGAAAAATAATTCGCCAATGGGTGATTTATCTAGAGATTTTACATATATTAAAGCGTCATGAAAATAAAAGCGAGTAATTTTATTTCGCCAGTGGTGCTTCTCGCGAAATTACGCGATAATTAATTCCTCGCGTATATTTAGGAATCTACAGTAACTATATTTACGTCACCAGTAATAATGTGTCCAGCTGGACTATAGTTATAGGGTGAAGAAGAACATGAACACGATGGAGGATTATGTTTCAGATATTCGATATCAAAGAATTGTAAAGTTTTCTTGTAATTAAAAAGTTTGGAAGCAATAGTCGATGTATATTTGTAGGAAATACAAGGTGTAATCTTTAACTTGAAATATGGTGGAATACAAGACTGGATCCTTGTGATTAAGAATAATACGAAGTACAGGGATAAAAATTTTGATATCGTTCTAAAGCATTCCGTTGTACTTAATGTTTGATTTTTTAGCCATGACCCATGAGGCAGGATTTCGTTACAAAGAGATTCAAGGTTTCACATAAAAATGTATAGGAAAATTCTATAAAAAATATATTTTTTAAAAACTTTAAGGCTACATATTCTACAATCTAATTTAAGTATATACAACATCCTTATAGGGTAGCGTAGATTCAAATTTGTTCTTACCATAGTAAGATAGAATTGTGACCACAAGGGGGTCGTCAGAGTGTGTTGAAAAATGTTAATATTTTTCTCAAGAAGTACAAGATTGCAAATTGTAAGAATTTTATTAAAACATCTTCATGAAGTGTCGAAATAAATCCAAACCTTAGCCCTGAGGCTGAAATGGGTTCACAGAGCTTGATGAAAGCTCCACGAAGAAATCTATGAGAATATCTTTAAAAATCCTCCTTAAAGACCTACAAGACTAAAAATTTCCTTCTAAATTTAGATGTTCCCTAACAAGAATTTACGAGTTATCTATAGTTTACTATAGTCCTTTTTGTTAGGGTAATCGTTCTCATGTATAATACATAAAGATATGTTCTAACCATGAATCATGGGTGAGGGATGAAATCAAAAGGGGGTTCAAACGTGTGCATATAAAATTATATATAAAAAAATCATTTTGTAACTCTTCATTTCTACAATACATCGAATAGCTTTTTTGTTAAACTGATATCGCAAGCTTTGTGATGTTGTTTTGAATCAAATTAGGTCAAGCTATAAATAAGTCGCAGAGATAAGGAAACAATGGAATTAAAAGTGTTACATAGAAATGTATTGGTAAAATCTTCAAATGGTCCTCTTCAAGAAAACAAGGCTAAAAGATACATCCAAGAAGAATGTACAGTTTAATACAGATTCAAATGAGTTTAAATTTAAAGTCCATGTGGCACGGATGGGGTCATAAAAGGGATCCATTTTTCTACAAAGTAATGAACATGAAAAAATCTCCATCTCAAGAAAACAGTACTGCAAAAATCTTGTTACCATTAAGGTCTCATTTCAGTTGAAATAAAGCCAGTCCTTGCATATAAATATACAGATTGCAGAAAAAGTTCTTACTCTGCAAAGAAATTAATTATAATACAATGCATGACAATAGTCTTGCCCTAATTAATATTCATTCATAGAATTTTTACATTCTTCAAAAAGTTATCTTTTGATAATAAGAAACAAGACAATTTCTAATAAAATTTTACAAAAGAAATCGCATCACAATGAATATATTGCAAAATTGTTTATTGTAAGCTTTGTTGCGATCTAGATTCTATTATTTATATAACTTTAAAATGCAAAATGACTTCCAAATATTTAATGTTTTCAAATTGAAGAGTTCACATTGTAGCGACCTGTGACGACCAGGACCCGTTCTGTAGCACGTACTCTCTGGCAATTTGTACAACAAACCCGGTTTGGGCGTCTGGCAGCTGTAGAAAAACTTGTGGACTGTGTCATAGTAAGGCATTTTACATACTCTTCACTTGCTTCACCAGTTTTGGCTTGATTTGCCTCTGCATTACTGAGTCTGCTTTCTTTTATTGCGAAACATGCCTCTTTTATGCTTGCTGCTTAGTGTAACACAAAAAGAAGTTCTGATATCTAAATGCACTGCATAGTACACAATCAAAACAATGCTTTAATTTCATTTCAAAAAAGATTTTGAAAATAGATAAGAGAGTAGAAGCTTCTGTAGAAAAGAAGTTTGATCCAGCCTTTCTTTCTCCGTCTCGCATGATGCTTTGGAATTTCTTTTGCACCAATCGTTCAAAAGTTAGGCAAAGGTTAGAAATTTGCAAAAGTAGAAAATACTCCAAGGTCAAGGTCACGAGGTAAAAAAAAGTTCGTATCCAAAGAAAGGTTTTGTCACAAAAAAAAAAACAGAAGTGAAATATAAAAGATTTTCCACTCACCATCAACAGACAACCGTCACGGTAGCTCATTCGGTATAGCGCTCAATCACTCCGTGATCGGAAGGTCGTGGGTTCGAGCCCCGGCCGCGACTGACCTAAGTCGGTAAAAAATAGGTAGCAACTGTTCCTTCGCCAAGCGCTCAGCACTTTAAAGTGAAAGTCGTGGGTCCTTCGGATGAGACCTTAAAAACCGAGGCTCCGTGTTACAGCAGGCGTTGGCACGTTAAAGTAAGTGTTGAGTAATGGTCTGAATTTGAAGCCCTTCACGGGTATATGGTGACGTCTCTATATTGTGAAAAATTTTCGAACGGGATGTAAATCAACATACAATCAATCAGTCAATCAACAGACTAGTATCTCTTGTTAGATAATAACTTCTGTCTCCCAGCTACCAAAAGCCCTCAATTTTTAAACATTAATGTACCAAAAAAAAAAAAAAAAAAAAAAAAAAAAGAAAAGAAATACGCAGAAGATATCATTAAAAATTGTGCTAATACAAAGGTATGATATTTTGTGTTTTCTTTGACGACATTAATTGTACAAGGTGGAGTGATAAGCGATAAAATCTTGGAGAAATTCAGTGTTTATTTCATAAGGATAACCAACTCAAAAATTTGATTAATGGATTTATATATTTACTAGTATTTAATGACTGATTTTGAATAGAAATGACATAAATGATAAATTCCTTCAACTTTGCGACTGTGTGCCATTTTCTATAAGCATCAGTAGCAGAATGTTTTAGCAAGGATTTAATTTTGGCATTATTAGTAAGGGTTTTCTTATCGGAAACATTTAAAATCGCTTACAATTCATTCCTTGTAGAAAATCTCAAAGATTCATATATAAAATATATACATACGTTTATTAGTGTAAATCTTCTGTTTCTATTTAATAATTGTAATTATTGCAGCTTCTCCCTCTCCGTTGCATCGTCCTGTGTTTGTTACAATCCCAGTAAATCCAGGTATTGCTGTCTCTTTATAGGTATCCAAACCCACTTTCATTTCCTTTAATAAGGTTTCGGTTACATTTATAACACCATCGCATACCTGTAATGTGTGTTATATCTTTTAACACATATTTAGTTTTTCTTTTGAAAATTCAAATATTTACACAATGAGTATATTTAGATTTTTTAAAAACAATATTTTTCATTTATAAAATGTCAAAATTAAACTTGCACAGGTAAACCTACCACAAAACCCACAACAACGACGTCAAAACCCACAACCGCGAAAGGTAGAATTGAATTCTTTTCTAGTTTTACAAAATCGTAGAATAATATAGTGCTTTGTAACAGAATTTCCAGGTACAACATTCGTTCAAAGTTTCATTCTTTTATTTTAGCAACTCCACAACGCCATCACTACGTCACCATTAGAAGTATTGTTGGAGAAAAAGGAGGTGGAATTTTAAATATAAAAATTTGATAACAAGACAATTTTCCTTTATTTTAATCACATTTGTCACTAGAACAAATGTTCACTTACAATCTGTTTCATATCTGAATATTTTATTAGAAAAAGACATTAATGGGAAACTAACAATTAAATTTTTATGAAAAACGTGATGACTTCAAATTTTCTAACGTCAACTTCCTTTATTTATGCAGCAATATACCATTATCACTGCATATGGAGTTTATGTCTCCCGGTTGATTCGATAGACAAGAACATGCACTACGTACGAACAATTTCTAAAACGAGACAAGCTATTAAAAAATAAATTGATATATATGATATCAACAGTCTCTTTAAAGTCAACATTTTGCAAATTCTTTGGTCGATACAATGACCTTGTTAGCAAATTATATAATCTACAGCTGTATGTTAAGATTTAGATTCTTATTAAGTCGAATGTTAACTGACGTTTGTCATACAAACTGTTAGCCATTATTTCACACCGAATTGTCTATAGATTTCCCCCTTTCCCCAATCATGGTATGGACCACAAAGCGAGTGTGACCTGTCGGCAGGGGATATTTACTCCTCCATGGCACCTGATATTTTTTAGAGCATTGCATAGATTTAACATACTAAATTGAACATAGTGCAATATAGCTTTATGCTTTATGTTAAATAACCCTTCAATGAAGGTACTGTTATAGCCTTTTTGAAAATAATTTGTAAAGGATAATAAGCATAAAACTGTGTGAGCAAACTGATCGAGGCCCCTTAGGGGTAAGTTTTTTAAGGGTTATATCCTACTTAGAATATGATCTCCACCATGTTAAGATTGGACAGTATCAGGTGTTAACAGTGATGTTTTCTATTAGCAATCGTCTTCATAATTCACTCTGTCAGGTAAAGCTACTTTTAAATTAAAGAAAAATCGTTTTCTTTCGTTCATTGGCAAGTCTTATAAGGCTATACAACTAAATTTTCAATTTCATGTTCATGCAGTCACAGTCACAATTAAGCATGTCTTCCTCTGATGGTCAGATCATTTGTTTACCGAGTTTTTATTTAAGGTCCAAATACTGAGATTGTTCGAGGTGAAATTCTGATTATTGAGAGTGAGAATGCTATGAAGTCAAATTTCAGTAAAAAGTGATGTTCTTTCCGGATATTCCTGATGAGGACATGGTTCATGTCAGCCAATATTTAGAAATAGAGGGTGGGTGGGTGGGTGGGTCCATAATTCTTTGAATTTAATGGATCTAAACGAAACCTTTTCCTGGACAAATGCGCATACTGTGAATCCGATACTACAAGTTAACCAGCTCTTAAATTTATTTTCTAATAAACTGTTCTCAGACAGTTAAGATTATAAAATCCACAGAAAACTATGGTCGCTGTGTAGAATATTCATCGATTTTAGGTCTTCTATTTCTCTAAAACATCGTCCATAACAAGATTTTACTAGCTCTCAATTTTTAATGACCGATATATTCTTGGGGCGCCGTCACAGGAAATGAGATTATTGCTGTGGCAATATTGCTTCAGTGTGCGAGTTCACTCTTCTTCAGGACCAATGTCACACCTCTTATTTAGTTCTTCAAACATTATTGCTATGCTATCGATGTGTTAACAGACTCTAATACTTTTCTGTGAGCAAGAGCAAAATATTTGTAAAAGAACTGCATTCTTTGGGGGAAGGGGGTGGGGTGGGCGTGGGGTAATTTTCTCAATTAAGTTTACATTATACGACCTCACCTATAATCACACCCTCTAATTCTTCATAGTGAATAAAGAATTCTTAAGAAAATACATAAGTTTGTATTCTAAACATGTAATTAATAACAATTAAAACATGCAGTACTGTGAACATACTCATTTTTCTTGTTTTGGTGTAATTTTACATTCCCTTATAATGTTGTTTCAAGGAGTCGTGTTTGGAGAAAAGTTCTCTAGAGTACTTTTTCTTGCAATCAAAAACTAAATTTTATCATTCATAGAAGAATTGAAAATGCAAACTAACAATGAAATGGTTCATAAAATCTACAATATTTTAACTCCATGGAAAACATTTGTTATAAATTTCTTACTGAAGAGAGGGGATTCTACATAAAGAGACAAGACATTGTATTGTAAACTTTTTTCTCCATTTAATAAAATTGCTTTACATTATATCAACATCTGCACTTCAAAATTGCAAATACAACAAACAACTCAAAGCACATAGACGAAGAAGAAATTACTTAACAATATATCACCAAAAACTTTATGCAAATAAAGTAAATCTTGATAAATCAGACAAAGCTTTCCATATATGATTTGGGCATGTCGTCTTCACTCAGGTGCACAACACGCCCTTTAAGGGGCGTGACATGATGACGTGACTCTGGCTCTCCGTACGCATGTACTGTGTGAGAGACGCCATTTGTCTCCATGTGAAATTGTCTCTTCCGGTAAATGTCAAATAGTCTCCGGATAATATCTGTTATCATGACAGTATTTGTATTGGCTGTAATCACCTTCAGAAGAAAAATACCATCTAATCGAAGATAGTTTTCTACGAACTGTTTTGTTAATTTTTGTGTAAATAAATCCTTATTTTTATCGTCATAAGCATCAATGAACTTAAGGTACTTCTTAACAAAGCTCTTACGATTATTTGGCACTGCTATTAGAAGTATAGAGTAGAGCACATTGAATAGTGTCAGAATCGCCACTATTGTGATCCAAAACCAAAGGAAGATGAAGAATTTTTCGTTATAGAGATTCACGGGAAGAACACATTGAAGGGTCCATCGTTGAACATTGGTCATTTGACGGAGGTCAAAGTCGCACAAAGTTACCCTTGGGAAACGGTGTGTTCTTGTCCAGTCATTTTCTGTCAGAATGGAGTGAACGACCTCGTATCCATAAATATAGAACTTATCACTTCCCAGAAACTCGTTCAAAAAGAAGAGCTGTCCAACAGCATTTAGAAGGAACAGGCATTTAGTAAATAGACAAAGGAATACCAAATAGTTCCCATAGTGTCGCCCTACTCCTATTCCAAAGTAAGTGGCAACCTTTGAACGGTGGCTGGGGAAACAGCCCGCCCGGTGATGGGCAGTCTTACTCATCCACAAGTCGATGAATTTCGCCACAGAGTTTAGTTTTTTCTCACGCTCCTCTGGCGTGTCATTCTGTGTCGTTTTCACTAAATCTATCATCTTTTTCAAACCTATTCCAGAATGGGTGTAAGCGAAATACTTCCATATATTCCTTGGCATTTTGAAGAGAAAAGCCATTAACAGAAGAATTAATGGAACCCATTGATAGTACGTTATTTCATCATTTTTTCGAACCTCGTAGTTAGCTGGAATCTGTTTTGAGAATGGGATATGGTAGGTGTTAGAAACCCAACACACAAAGTTTGTGTAATCAACCTCATTTTCAGTAAATTCCGTGGGACAGAAGCAGTGGATAGGATCTCCTACATACTCATTAGTTGCCACGGTGATTTGCATAAACAAGAGAAAGATAACCGTGTAGTAATGACTGAGACGGTCAATGTAATTGTCGTCGTGGACTGAACGAATACCCTCGTACACCCCCACGGGGCCCAAAATGTGGTCCAATCTGGAAAAGAAAAAAAAGATTTCCATGTTTATTTCCTAATAATTAAAAGATAAAAATTCTTGGCAAATTCTGCTTAAAATCTATTCGAATGCTGACAACGAGCAACAAATGTTTCTGCCTATCGCCAGTACTTATAGACATGAAATTTAACACAATACAAAACACCTCTTAGATTCATTTCGTCACTTGATAAGTAACGAAAACAGTCAATTGTTACTGAAAGGAGAAGTGAGTCTTCAAGGCCTTTTGGGGTTATCAGAATGTAATATCAGATGGTTTTATCTGAATGAAATTTGACTTTGTTATATCTAAATGTAATATTAAATGGTTTTATCTAAATGTAATGTTACATGGTTTCATCTTAATGTAATGTTCATGCATGATTTTATCTAGCTGTAATGTTACATGATTTTATCTTACTGAAATGTTACATGGTTTTATCTTAAGGTAATGTTACTTGGATTATTTGAATGAAATGTGACATGTTTTTTTTTTCTAAATGTTATATTACATGATTTTATCTAACTGTAATGTTACATGATTTTATCTAAATGTAATGTTACATGGTTATATCTTAAGGTAATGTTTCTTGGATTCATTTGAATGAAATGTTACATGTTTTTTTCTAAATGTAATATTACATGATTCTATCTTATTTAAATGTTACATGATTTTATCTTAGGTATTGTTACTTGGATTCATTTGAATAAAATGTTGTAATTTTATCTGAATGTAATGGAATAGGTAATATTTTGAAAGGTTGTGTTACTTACTTTTATCTAATTGTAATGTATATTGCATGCTCTTATCTAAATGTAATGTTATACAGTTGAATCTGAAAATTATGCTATTTTTATCTGAATGTAATAATGTAATGTTCCAAGAAGGATTAACAATTTTTTCGTCAAAGCGGATGTTAGAATGGCCCAAAAAATTATATTGTAGGTTTAGGTAGGAATTCTAGTACTCCGTTTTATTTCCCTTTAAATTTATTTTTAAGATTAACAATTACATTGTAATGGTATCTGAAATTTTGACAGAAGTTCTTAAAACACTTAAAACTAAGAATCTATAGCTACAAATGAAACAATTACAGTATAATGGAAATCAACAATCTCAGCACAACAGAATTTTCACTGAAGATGACATAAACAGGGATTTCTATTTAGGCGATTCCAAGTTTATTCTACGTTAAGTGTCCGCGTGTGCCTTATTTTTGACAACCCAGATCAAAAAACGCACACAAATTCAATATTCAAAAGATTGACCTTTTTTATTATTATTACAACCTTTCGGATTTTGTCTACATTTGTACTTAGCATTTCTTAACTTGATATTACCAAGAAATTTAAATTTCTATGAGAAAACTATAATAATGAATTCAAACTCTGAATGACGTGGTTTTTATGATAATGAGGTGGACGTTTTATTTTTCGGCTGGTGTGTGTTTGTGAATTTGCTACATGTAGGTAGGTTTTTCAATTCAAGGTGGACGCTAAATAGAGAAAAAACTTTATTTTGTTCTCCAAGCCTTAGGAACTTAGGAAACTGGTGGTCAATAACTAAGGGGGATTCAGTATTAATTTTGTCATATGAGTAAAACTTGAGCTCATAAATTTTGAAGCACATTTCCTACACTTAGCGATTAGGTAAAAATACACTTAGTGAGAGACTTGTGGTTCAGTTTTATGTTTTCAGCTATTTCAATATTAACACGTGGGCTTGGTACTCGGGAAAGGATCCTACTTTTAAGATTTTTTTTTATTTCACCAATAATATATATGTAAAATATACGTCTGCAGAATGTCCACCCCGTGGTTGCCACACCCTTTTACTTTGAAAATTGCCACTACATCCTTGAACATTTTTATATCAAGCAGCAAAACCAAAAAGCGTGTTTTAAACAGCGCAAGAATACTGTTTCACCAATCAAAATGTATCGTTGCTTCTAATTCTCTCCGACATCTAATTACACGAACCATCCGTTTCCTCTGAAAAAAGTATCTGTCATCGAGCTCACGAAATAATTAAATGAAACATGTTTAATTAATCAAACAGTCTGAATACCTTTACATATTTAAAATATGTTTTTAACGTTCTGACGTAAACTTATGGTTTCTTAAAAATAAAATAACTTTTAAAAGATTTGATGTAATTCATCAAAGAAAGATCCTAAGTGGCAAAGATCACCCCAATACATTGTTATAGAATAACAAAGGGCATCAACAAATGAGGACATAAATCACTGCAGAGTACTTACAAAGTAACAAGAGGCATGGTTTACACATGGAAAGTCATCCATTTAAAACAATACATCTAACATCACCATTTGATTCCGTAAGGAAACCTAATCCCTCGATATTTGTTTACACATGGAAGCGGAGTTCGATCGCCGCTAACTTCGTCGGCCATGTCTTACAGTCATAAGTTCACAGCCCAGTAATCCTGCTCATTAAGTCCAATACTACTATGCAGGAGATTAATTAAGTGATACCCAATTACTCCTGTATAATTGTACACTTGTTAAGATAACAATACATAAATGATGTGGATTAAAGACAAAAGATCCACAATTAATAAAGGTTTAAAGAGCCACAATTGTCTTTGGCCGGCAACCTACGCTTTGAATTAACTTTAAGTTAACGATATTCTGAATGATATCTTTAGCAAGCCTGTTTGATGTCAATACACCTTCTGTTTTTCTTAGGATGTTTGACAAGCACTTGTTTGGCAGAACTTAAAAAATATTTATCTCTGAATGTAATTAAAATAAGTACAGGGCCTGTATCACAATCATGAGTCATTGATTTTTCCCGAATTATATAGTAATTATAAATACCTTTCCTTAAGTAATATTTATAAAATACGCTTTAATAGTTTTTGTGAATGTAAATAATCAAATGAAAATGATTACTTTTTATTTTATTATGAAGGTATTTTTATGCGTTAACATTGATGCCATTAAAATGGCTTCAACATGTTCAACATGGCCGATCTTCTTGCTAAGAGATTTAGTAGTTACTTCCCTTACTCCAATCTCATTAATAAAAATTCAAATTGTACAGAGGATATCGAAAAGTGCAGATGGTTAATAGTCTGAGAAAAGTACATGGACTTGGAACATTTTCTCTAAGAGGTCAACTAAAGTTTACGTAGGTCTACTTTGAACGTCGTCCATTAAAATTGTTTTCAATGCTATGAAATAGCAATTTCAAATGAAATAAAATATAAAAGAAAACCAACAAAACCAACAAATAAAATTTGGAAAAATGATTTTAAAAAACAACAAAGGAAAAACTGGTTTGCTGCTATAAAATTTTCGTGGACGTCGTTAAAATGTAACAAATATACTAGTATTTCTAACAACTTCAAGATCGAAAAAAGAAACAGTTCTATTGATAATCAAAGAAACTGTATTTGAAACAGAAACATTTTAGGATGCACTTTTGAAATTGTCCTAGAAATAAAGTAAATAAGGTTTAAATACAGATCTATAATAGTCCATGCGAATAAACCCGGTTAATTCGTGCAAAGGTTTATGTTAATTGGAAGGGATTTAAATCACAAAGACTGCATCTGGGGGTTTTAGATCCGGGTGAATCGACTTCTTGTGATGGCAAAGATGATTGAAGAAGGTAAAGATGAATAAAGAACAGAGGAACTTTTAAGGATACTGTGAGTTATATTTACACTAGAGTTATATGGATCTATTCTAAAGACACTCGAACGAAATGAATATATCTTTTTATTTCATCAAATTACTTTCGTAGTCAGAGCTATTAAAGGAAAGCAGACTATGAAATTCACAATACAATATTAAAATTTTGCTATAACAGGTCTGTGAAATATGGTTTAATTACAATCTTGAAAAAAAATATGTCAAATGATGACTCGTGTTTTGTAATCTCTAAGATTTTTGAACCCAAGGAATAAATCAAAGATCAATTCACGTATTCTAACCAATTCATTAACAAAAAAATCATTTTCAAAAAAGTGACTGAGAATAGCTCTTGTCTATGAAAAAAAAAAGTTTGAAAATTACGGCAATAGAGAGAAAATATCATCAATTAGTAAAATGCTGTTTTTCATTCTAACTGTTAGGCCATTATTTGCATACTGAATTGTCTACTGATTTTTCCGTTATTCCCCGAACATGACAAGGAGCACACGACGGGTGTGACCGGTCGGCAGGGGATACTCTTTCCTCCATGGCACTTGATTTCACCTCTGATGTTTCAGAGGTCCACATTTGCCTTGCTCCTGATTTGTATTGTTTGAATGGACTTTTGAGCTTGAATACCGTTCATTATCTCCATATTTAATGTGAAAATTGCAGAATAATTGTACATTGATAAAAACTTGGTTTAAATTGGAAGTTTGAGAGATTTAGTAGTAATCAAAGAAAGGGAAAATGTCGAAGAGCTGGTCGTATGCCAGTAAGGATAAAAATGTTCCCAAAGTCTTGCACCTGATTTAATAGATAGGCCTATAAGCACCGTTTTGATTACTTTTACATCGTTTAGCAAAAGAGCAACCCGGAAAATATTGTGTTTGTCTTGAATACATCATTGTATTTTCTTTCTCTGTTTGAAGCCTTTGATTGGACCATTGCGTGTCACGTGATTACATTCAGTTCAGGCCTGACAATCCTTTAATTCTTGCTCGATTTCTCCAAAGTTATTTCTTTTTTTAAATAAACGTGGTTTATTCAGCCAAACTGTATACATTTATTAAAGTTTAGGACTTAATAAACATTTGTCTATATACACAATATATAAACTTTAATGTAAGACTTAGATCCGTTTCAACGTTGTAAGAAGTAGCATAAAGGTGTATCCAATGGTCGAAATCTTCATGAACGAATTAATCTTTCCTTGAACAATATGAATAAATATAAGTATTTTTTCATTGACGGCTTTCTTTCCTCCAGAAGTGACCATGACCTGTTTTATACACATGTACCACATGCATTATTAAATAAATATAGTAAAATACTGTTTATAAATATGAAAAATATAGAGTACCCATCGTGTCACGAGCAAGGAAATGGTTATTTATTCATCCGATGATTAGCATGCAATAAAAAGATATACATGTACTTTCTATGAACTCACACAAAATTATAAAGACATATTATTTCGTTGCAATATTTTTAAGCATCATATTCTACCTTGCAATTTAATGTTCGTGAATTTCTTTTAACGGGAATATTCGATTTCTAAGTCAATTCTCAAAGTTAAAGAAGAAGCATTGTCTCCTTGTTATATGCAGATACTGTATACACATGATGAAAAGTAAAATAAAATGTAAGTTCATATTACTGAATTTTATATGCTTTCACTTTTGGTTATTGTACTAGACAAACATTGTTGTCATATGTCTTAAAATTTGATATCTTTGAATTAAGAAATATGATATCATTGACAATAATAGAATTACTTACGTATGATGTATAAACAATGAGAATGCCATAACACTTCCACGGGGTTAAAGTCACATTTTAATTAACTAATAAATTAATTTTTCAAAAGTCTGGAAAACACCGACAAAAATGACAGTTTCCTCGCGGTTCGATTCACTTCTATAAAACGCAGGTCCATATTTAAGGCCACAATTCAGTCAGATTTTTTTTCCTTTTTTTTTTTGCAACACAACAGAATTATGAATAATGTCTACCCCATTAATAGTAGCACGACATAATGTAACTCTGCCTCTTTCTTTACGCTTGACTATGATGTAATATAACAAACGAACGAGTTCCACCTGGTCATTATTACCATAGGGTGTTCAATGATGGATTGTGGGATATTACTTATGAAGGTAACTGCAAACATCTTTTCAAGACATCTTGTATTGTTAATTCTAGCCTCAATTGAAAGCAGTTAAAGACATTATAAAATGTTCTTTACAAGAGATAATCATTGCCACAAAATAGGTCTATAATAAGTAATGATTGTGATTTAACCCTAGTTGTCACACATTGAGGTGTCAAACCGAACCTTGCATGACCTTATATCCCATCTAATTGTACCTAATGTCTACATATATTGAATTTTCACCAAATTTAGAAATAAATCAAGGTAATTAAATAATAAGATCAAAATGCATTTTCTTATATTTATGTCTCATCAAATAAACATTTAAATGGAACTTAAGGACGAAGATTGCATGTAAAGCTCAGCTATAGGTACTGTAAACAATTGGCCACTCACGCAAGAGGCTTCTAAAAGGGCATTGTTTCGCCAACTAAATAAGAACTGACAAGTCCCTCCTTTAGAAAAAGTCGAATAGTCTATAGGAAAAACCGTCATTTATGACTGGTCTTGCCTCTACGTTCAGTTTCTTCCAAGACATGAATATAACCCATGCAGTGATCTTATTCTTACATTTCTTAAAGTATATTTGCTCAACAAAACGTTTTATTGATACTGAGGATGACAGGAATTGTATCATGATCTTAATTTCTCCACAGGTTCCACGAAGACAGAAAGACGTTTTCTTATGTAATCAGGCCAAGCATAAGAGACAAGGAATGATCTTATTCATGCACAGGCAGACTCGTGAGTTAATCCTGGAGTAAAGTACAAAATATCGGCATGGGTGAGTAGGAAGAGGTAACGCATCATGACTTTGCTTTTATGTCGTGTTCATTTCTCTGAATGTTTAAAATATTTAAGCTAAAAGATCGAAGAATAGAAAACGAGGAGTACAATATGGAGAAATGTCATGATCTGGTTGATGAAGATAGGAAGAGGTGACAGCAGGTATTGTATATATTCTACAAATCAAAACACGCTGTCTTTTGATTTAGATCTAAATTATTTTATTGATTGATTAATTATTTATTGAATGTACACGATATAAGGTTTCTTCTCTTAGCCACACCTCAAAAGACAAGGTCTCTTTACAACTCTGATTCTTATATGTTAGTCATTTCTCCTTGTTTAAGTTACAAAACATAAAGAGTCAGTATAGGCAATATCTCAGTTATGAATGAAAGATAATCTTTATCAACCAAAAACAATTTAAGACTTTTCATCTATATTTGGCAATACTTATATATCCCATTAAGAGATTAACAATTACTTCAGATTTAAATGTTTTATATTATCTTCGGTTCTACTTATCATAACAAAATGAATGTCTCGATAATAACTCATTTCTATTAAGGTAAAGTGTATACTTAATGATATGACTGTTTTTAAGGATTTTTGGACAATGACTTAAAAATGCAAATAACTAATGTTTGAAGGAAATTCTCTGACTTTGGCATATACAGGTATTGTTAATTTTTATAGACTTGTCAGTACTTGTCCAAAATTATCTGCACTTGACCAAAATTGTGCCATCATACGTCAATAAACTTCCTTTACTTCAAGAAATCAAATTATAAAAAAGCAATTTTTGGAAAAATTAGTGTAACAAATCAATTTTCGTGAGAGAACTAATTTATTGATTTGAAAGCAAATTGTCATCTTTTTTTTTAGTCAAACTGATAGGAAATGTTTGTGCACTCTGATGCAAAGGATCTTCATATACTTGATAGGATCATAAAATATTCCTTAAAATAGTACAAAAATGTAACATTTGATTAATAATTGTCGGACTAGAATCCATGGAATCTAAACAATAATCAATTTTGTTGACGTAAATGGTTAAGATTATGAACAGTTATCAGTCTCATCAATTCAGAATAGAAAATGAATCTGAATGGAGCAAAACATGGAACCCTGAAAGCACCAAAGGTTGGATCAGGGTACCTAGTTGTTTGATTGTTGAGAGCCCTGTCACATCAACTCATTTGTCAGTATCTTTCCTCGTTTAAAAAATTGATTGTATTCAGAGCATGCTCTTGCGTATCGAATCGGTTGGGAGACATAAAGTATCATGGAATAAAGCTAGATAAATAAGGGAAGGTGACAATGGAAACGCAGAAGCTGAGTTCCTAATTGACGATATCTCTGTAATCGTTGGAGACCAGGTCTTCCAACAATCTATTGGAATTCCGATTGGCATTAATTCTGCTCCTTTATTAGACCACCTGTTTTTATATTCCAATGAAGCCGAATTTATTCAAAAGCTATTTTATGCGAAGAAGAAACCTCTTGCAGTAGCCTTCAACTCAACATTTAGATATATCGACGAAGTTTAATAAATTAACAAAAGTTATTTATGAAATGGCCAACTAACAGCTAAACTTGATGACAATGGGACTACTTTAGCTTATCCATCGTCAACTTCCTTCATCTTTTTAGTAACATTCTATATCTCATGACCTGCATATGGTGTTTATTTCTCCCAGCTCCTCGATCAATTTTTAAATCAAGGTAGGGCACTGACAAATAAGATGATGTTACAAGGCTTTCAACAGTCTTAATTAAAATAGCATTCGCACATTCTAATGTCGTTATAATGGTATTGTTTGCAAGCACACCTTATCACTGGGTCGTTTATAACTGATGTGTTTCATACCAATTGTTGTGGAACGCTCGCTCCGTTATCGGAAGGTTGTGTATTCAAACCCCGGCCGCGACTGACCTAAGTCGATAAAAATACGTAGCAACTGTTCTTTCGGTAAGCGCTGGGTTTTTAAACTGAAAGTTGTGGGTCTTTCGGGTGAGACCTAAAGAAACTGAGGCCCCTTGTCACGAGAGGCGTTGGCACGATAAAGATTCCTCATTGCACAATGGCTCTGAGTATCGAGTAAAAGTCTAAATTTGAAATCCTTCACCGGTTTATAGTGACGTCTCTGTATGCGTGAAATATCTGGAATAGGACGTAAAACAAAATACAATCAATCAGTTATACCAATCGTCAGGACATTGTTTTATAAGAATTATAACAACGGATTACTTCGAGAGGAGATGCCTGCTCCTCCAGTGATCCTATTTCTGGTGCTTCAGGGGTCCGTATTTTTGCCCTGTTTACAATTTTACTGCCTTTAGGATTAATGTGATCGATCAGTGTTCGTTATCTTAACCTTTTCATGTCAACGAACCATTGTACGTAAAGAGATCTAATTAAAATAAAATTACCTCTTTTCTCGCTTCTATATTTTTAAGTTTTAGGTTAATACATATTTACTCTTAATCTGGATAGTTGTTAGTACCACGAAGTACTGAATTATTGATGTTTATACGATTTCTTACATCGGACCAATATATATAAAAATGCACATACAGCTGCCATGTTAAGTTATTTACTATCGTTATATCCTTAACAAAACGCCGGTTGTCTTCTTGCAAATTATTTGTTTATTATATCATCCCATCCTTAATCTTTTGTTCGTATTCTATGTTCTTTTTATTGAGATTTATGCAAAACCTAAATTATTTAAGCAAATATCCTTTAAATTCCCATATAAATAAATATGGGTATTTGTAATCAAAATCTTATCATATTGTTAAAGTGAAATATCTGCACAACAAAATGGTTAAGTATCTTATTCGCTTTATAGTAATGGTACCCAAAAGAAAATCACATTATACTTTTTGGGATCCCCTGACGTTTTCTGCATATTTCTTCTATAAATTTGCATTAAAGACATTTAAAACTGCATTTAATATTTTTTAAAGTGTAAAGAAAGTGTAGGATTGTGTAACAAGCTTATCTTAACATTTAATGTACAATACAATTATGTTAACATTAAATGTTACACAGAATAGAAATTCTTTTAAAATCACATTTCAAATCAAGATATTTTCAAGAAGTCGGTTAATATCGGATTCAATTCATGAACAAAAGTTTCATTGAATGGGGGTCAAATGTTTTATGTTTCAGTTTCGTGGAATACTTGGAGAATATATATATATATATATATATATATATATATATATATATATATATATATATATATATATATATATATATATATATATGAAGTATACTTCAGAAATTTCATATTATCAAAATGGCAAAATATACCAGTTTGCCTTGCATACATCATACATAGAGGTGAAGGAGTATTTCCAGTGTTTGATTTACAAAGTAGTACAGATTAAGAACATTTTCAAAACTTGAGTAAAGTTAGTGCATTTTTACATAATATGGCAATATATTATTTCAAAAATAAGAGAAAGTGTTTAAGTAATTTTCTGTTACAGTAAGCAGATGTTATATAGACTTTATACCGAGCCTGTGTAAATCTTCACATTAAAAACAAACTTAAAGTTTCTTTATTTTAGATACAGCAAAAGAAGTACTTACATTTTGAATCTCAGCATGGTGTGACATCTACTTTATCTGCAGATTTCTACTCATCTTCAAAGACTTCTAAGTGTATCTGTGCAGGATTGCACGGAGTAATACAAACCCGACCTAAGAATTCCGCCATTTTCTCGCCAGGCTCTCATTTGCTGTAAGAAAGCAGAGTTAATAACAGATAGATCACGGCAGACGATTCTAATGATGTCTTAATAGACAATACTCACGAACCTTTCATATGGACTCCCACAAAAACAAATAATCTATACAAAAATAAAGGAAGGAATTCTTCTCTTTCTTCAATTATTATGAAGGCCGTGACGTCACAATCTCGGTTTTGTCTGGTATATTTAATCCTCAACGAAAACTTAAATAGAAAGATCAAAATTTTTCTCCCTCTCTGGTGAGTCAGACAGGTATTTAGCGCTAATAAAAAGAAGCCTTTATTTTTTAAAATTACCTGTTGGATTTTATTTGGGAAGAATAGGTGGGTTTTTTTTATTATATATGTTTGTTCAGCAGCATGTGTGTCAATTATGGATACAAACAAATATAAGAGTATTGTTCGTGCAGTAGTATTTGTGTTAACAATAAATTACATTTGCTTTTCGTTTTAACATTTTCTGCATCAGACCGTATAACAAAAGATTTTCCGAATGTAGGTAATTAATGTATTTTTCTAAGGGCATATATTTGCTTAAATGTTTTATGCCTCCTTCCCTTAAAAGCGTCCTTGACAACGATGTATTCTCGATCCTATTGGTTTTGAAAGCAAAATTTGATTTAAAAGCCACAAAAACTGTAAAAGAACCCATTACTGAGAGCAAGCTATTATATATTGTACCTAATTACTCTATTATAAACACTCCACCTTAGATGAATAGTGGTAAGAAAATTTAAAGAACGAGATTCAAGATCAGATTATTTTTAAGCTGTTAAAAGGCCAAGGCTCAGAAGGCGGCATACTGACCTCGGTACGTACAACAGAGCAATTATAGTTTCAAAAAGTTTCAAAAAGCAAACCAAATAATTCGTCGAGTTTCAGAGTTTGGGTTTCCGTTTTAGGTTTATTTAAGTTTATTTTTAAAAGGAATTATACTTTAACCAGACGCCTACGGTAATGTTCCTAAAAGATTATCCAAATGAAATCAAAATTTTACAAAGAGAATCACGTGACAATAATGTGTTATAAGAACTTTATTTAGATAGTTATCTTATTCAATTACGGTGGCCTAGCTACTTTGTGTCTTTTTCTCAATGAAAGCACACTTTTTTTTATGGTAGAAATGTTAGAACATGTTCAATTTTTTTTGTAGGTTGCGATGACACTTTTATTTTTACATTTTATCAACCTCTCTTAATAATCTAACTCTCTTTATGCAAGAAGAAAACAACACAACCAACACTATTTAAAGTGTAAAATACCCTGGAAAAAAATTTATTTTAATTATGTATGAAATTTTGGCAGATTGTATTTCCTTAGGAGTTATATTCGGTGATATTATATTTTGCGAAAGATAGTTTAAAAGGAATTAGATCTCAATTTTCACAAATCGTGGAGATTGTGAAGTCATGGGCAAAAATTACCCATAAAATCTCTGAAATATGATTACCCAGGAAATAAGATAACAAACTAGGTTCTATAATATCTCATCAATATTTTTTTAAAGCCAGCATTTCGCAAATTATTTGGTTGTTATCATGACATTGTTTGCAAATACCTATCGTTGGGGCATTGTGTGTCTGGTATGTTTCATACCAATTTTGGGTCATTCTCGACGTCCATCTGATCAATATAAAGAGCGCACGGCGGTGTGACCGGTCGACAGGGGATGCTTACTCCTCCTAGGCACCATATCTCACCTCTGGATTTACCGGGGGTCCGTGTTTTTGCCTCGTTCACGATTCTTCTTTTCCGGATTTATGAGATTGTTAATCATAATCTTCATAATCTTTTGCATTTTGTTAATTGTTAATTATTTCTAGGGTTTTCTAATATCCATGTGAAAATAGAAGTGATTATCATGGTCATGTATATATATAGTTGATGATTGCGCAAGAGCCTTTATAGCCAACGGTAGGTATAAATTAATTGAGTGGCGATAGAAGACCACACATATTAAGCAAATGCAAAGTTTCAATAACACTTAAAACTTATATTCATCACAATATTAATTATCTTTTCTTAAACTATTTTTTTTTAAATCTGTGAAAGAAAATTTCAATCTGGGAACACCTGTTTTTAACCTAGAATCAATAAAATCAGGTTCTAAGCATTTACTCTCTTCAATCTTGATTTGTTTAATGGATCCACTCGTTTTTCAAAAAAGAAGAGATTTTTGTTGTATATGAATACATCATTGCAATATCTGTAAATAAGAACCATTGATATCGGGATACTCACCCCTGGTGATCTACTCAAAACAGATAAAAACTTAACTTCATGTAACGAAGCAGTTGAGTTTGATTTAACAAACTATTTTTTTTACGCCTAGATCAGATAGAATGTTGTAAGCAAGCACAACAGTGGGACGTCAGAAAGAGATAAATGTATTGAAACATCAAATACCTCTGGCTATAAATACATACCCGCTGTCTCTGTAACTGGAGAGGAGAAATTCAAGAATTTGATAACCCCCAGTTATTGCGTAATTTGGTTGTGTTAAACTAAAATGAAACAACTTTGAAATATGTTGATGTAAAAATAGATATCTACCACAACAATACACTTCTTTACTTTGAAAAGCAAATAAATTTCACAATGTAGTTCATCTTTTTTTTTGTCCCTTGCTTTCACTGAGATTGGAGGATATAAATTTGCGTCTATCCATCCGTCCGTCCGTCTGTCTGCCATTCTTTCTGTGTGTAACAGTTTTGTTCCCGGAGTAATCTCAAAAAGCCTTAAAGCTTTTGCAATGAAATTTTATATCACAGCCCTATAGCCTAAGAGGACCTATTGATTTTAAGGCCGAAGACTGAAAGGTAGATTTTTTTCTTTTTTTCCATGTACATTTTTCTTTTAGCTCTTCCATCATCTTCTTTATTCCTTAAGCGGGGGACACAAATTCTTTTAATTAGCTTGTTACATGAATGTTTCATTTTATTTCTCTTAAATAAAATTTGTGCAGACAACATGTACAGCATTACCATTTAAAACCAATCCATGTAGTGTAGATGATATAACAACGTTGACGGAATTCCATTCATTTTCATAGAACATAATTTATTCAATGTTCGTTTTTATCTTTTTCAATGCCTCTATTATTCTGAAACAATAGAATCTAATTTGTCTAAAATTTTTATGGTGTATTTAGTTTGTTCTACGCCCTAAAACGTTAAATCCACACTACCGTTGGTTAACCGTGAAAATGAATAGTTTAAGAATGTACGTTCCAGTAAAACATATAAAGAGTTTTTTTTTTTAAATTAATTAATTAATTGATTTTAATTGATAGAATCTGTTCCTTGCCGTAATGTATACTTTAGAATCAAAGATGGCGTGTGTCTGTGCCCTTGTTATAATTTTTTCCCTAGAAATCATAACGTACAGGCATCCAATTTGTTCAGGTCAATATTGAAGATATTTTAAATGTACAACATTGATAAGCATTCTTTTTGTTAAAGATTAACAGTAACCACGTGTGACATTAACAGTAACCACGTGTGACATTAACAGTAACCACGTGTGACATTAACAGTAACCACGTGTGACATTAACTTGCAAAATACAAAACAATCATGCCAAGAAGCTCAAAAATTCTCTTTTTGCTTTTCCTTGATTTATGTTGAAGTGGAAGTCGCTAATTTTGAAACAAATTCAAAGTTACTCATACAAACATACAAGATATTTATGTCAGAATAAGAAATATCCACGGAAACATGAATTTTTATGTTGTTTATAAAAATCACTGACATGCCAGCTTGTGCTGAGCGTATTCATGGGCTAAAAAATATCTAAACTCTGATAAAAAAAAATCATTAAAACAAGACTTTTTTTAAACATAGTTCTGATCTACAGATCCCTTGTGGCATTTGTGACTACTATGAATGGAAAATGAAAACATGTTTTAAAACCAGTCCTTTTTTGAGTCCCTATTTCAAGCTTTTACAATTTAGTGAAATATTGAGATAACTAACAGTATTCAAGCTCAAAGTCCATCTAGACAATACAAATCGGGAGCAGAGCAAACACGGACCTCCATAAACATTAGAGGTGGGATCAGGTGCCATGGAGGAGTGAGCATCCTTTGCCCACCGGTCACACCCGCCGTGTGCTCTGTCATGATCGGGAAAACGGAAAAATTCGTAGACAATTCATAGCCTTACAATTAGTATGAAAAACGTAGGTCAGTATTTGACTTAATGATAGGTTGTATTTGCTGACAAGGTCAATGTGTCGACCATAAAACTTGCGAAATGATGACTTCAAACGAGACTGTTGATATCCTTGTTTTATCAACTTGTTTGTCAATAGCTTGCCTTCTTTTTAGAAATTGTTCATATGTAGAGCATGTTCCTGGGTATCGAATCAACTGGGAGACGAAAACCCCATATAAAGGTGATAAGGGTATATTGCTACACAGGTTGGGGAAGTTGATGATTGAAAATTGAAGTCAACACGTTTATCATAAAGTTTTGTTCTTAAGTTACCATTAAAGTCTTTTTCTAGTAAAATAACCGAATATGAAACAGATGTGTCAGACTCTGTGGTGTCTTTTATTTCAAGCTCACTGGGATATATCGAGTCGACATATGAATTAAAGTAACTATTGTTAATTGATAATACATTGTCGATATCTATAATTGTCGAGTTGATAGCCACAGCAAGTGTTTTCGTCTTCTCATTTAGAAGTTTTTGAATAAATACTGCTTCATGTGATTACAAAAATAGGTCTACCTACACGGGGTACCCATGGCAATTCCAACAGATTGTTGAAAGACCTGATCTCCAAAAACTACATTGATATTGTCAATCAGAAACTCAAGCAACTTTTTAATATCAACTTCAGAGTACTTGTCAGAATGTTTCAAAATCAGAATGATTTAAAATAATATTGCAAATGACCAATGACAAGGTAAGTATATTTACGAGTTATGATTATCTGAGGATCAAATGAAGAGCAAATTTTGTCTTTATTATATGAGTATATATTGCTATGTTTGACCTTGGTTCTGTTATCAGAGAGAGTGACTCCCCCCAACTCTCTCTCTCTCTCTCTCTGTAGGAGAAGGTGAGTCAAGACAAGGTTTTGCTACAATTCTTTAATCTTTATGCTATTGACTATGTTTTGAGAAAGCCTGCAAAGGCTTACGTGGGCAAATCCAAATTATTGTATGAAATATTTCATCGATATTCCGTCTAGACGGTAATATATGTAAAACTCTATAAGTAACGATGTCTATCCCAAACAAGGAAACAAATTAGCAAATATATGACAAAAATATTATAGCAATTAACTAATGATTAAAAATGTAATATTATGGGCTTAGTTTTTGTGAAGATTCCTAAATTACAAGTATATATAGAAATAGGAAGTCTTATTTTAATTACATAAACATATTTTTTTTCTTTTAATTAAAACTATTATTACGTAAAGTGAGAAAGATAAGAGAGACTGATGACTTTAAATCATAAGTGCTATCATAATTTTCCACATTGCTTTTTCTTATTATATGTTCAACTCTAGAATATATCCATCGATATAAAAATTATCATTACGCAAGTATATTGCAAACAAAGATTTTATGAATTTTTATTATGGAATAGTACTCAAAGATAATTCGTGAAACCTTTCTATTGAATAGATAAAATATGAAATGATCACTAATTTGAGGTCACAAAAAGGTGATGTATTCTCTTGATACCTGTGCCTATTTACGTAAGTTGTGTTCTGCTCATACGCTCGCTTTCTTCTGATTCTATTGAAAACATCAGAAGCCGTCAAACTGCCTTTTAATTTTTCAAAAATGGTATATTTCAATGAAATATCAAGATAACGAACAATATTCAAGCTCGATCGCGAAAGTCCATTGAAACGATACAAATTTGGAGCAGAGAAAACACGGACCTCAAAAGTTGAAGCAAAGCAAATCATGATCATGATGACAACACTGTTTATATTTTTTTTTTTCAGTTATGAATAGGATTAAAAGCAGGTCCCACAAGAAGAATGATCATCCACAAGTTACCTAGTCTTAGAAACAGTTTCGCTTGTGAATATCCTAGGTCTTTCGATTACATTATATTCATAAAATCATTGTTTACCAACTCGCTCGTATTACGGATGTAGGTACATGTATCTCGTCATGCACATAAAAATGGACTATATTCTATTTTAGTAAACAGTTTTTTTTCATGAACATGAACCTCGTCTGTAATGACATTATATCATTAGGCCATTATTTATACACTGAATTGTCGATGGATTTTTCCGTTATTTCCCGATCATGACAATGAGCACACGGCGGGTGTGACCGGTCGGCAAGGGATGCTCACTCCTCCATGGCACTTGATCCCACCTCTGATGTTTTGGAGGCCCGTGTTTGCTCTACTCCTATTTTGTATTGTTTAATGGGCTTTTGAGCTTGAAAATACTGTTCGTTATCTCCATATATTTCATCATCAAAATATTGCACAGTTACAGACCGTATCACTAGATTCTCCTTTTCAAATTAAATCTGGGGATTTTTTTTAATTATCAGATTCTGGCTAACTAGGAAAAATAAGTTCATGTGCCAAGTTTTTTTTGTCAATATTGATATATCTAATTGGGCCAAAAATAAAGACATCTTGGAGTCTGACACAGCTGCTTCGTACTGGATCTTTTAGAGAACGATTGATGGTAAACTAACAACTAAACCTTAAGAATGATTGGTAAACTAACAACTAAACCTTAAGATAAACACGGTGACTTCATTTTTTTATCTTCAACTTCCCATATCTATTTAGCAACATACCTTTATCACATGTTCTTAGTCCAGAAAATTATAAAATGAGGCAGACTACTGACAAATAAGTTAATGATACAAGGTTATCTATAATCTCGTTTAAAGTCAAAATGTTGGTAATTCTATGGTCGGCACAATGACCTTGCTTGCAAATACAATCTATCGTTAGGTCGAACGTAGACTAATGTACTTCATACAAATTCAAAGCATTATTTTCATAAGTAATTGACTGTGGACAAGGAATACACGGCGGCTGTGTCCGGTTGAAAGGGGATGCTTACTCCTTCATGGCAGTTGATCCCGCCTCTGCTGTTTTCAAAGGTCTTTGTTGGCTCTGCTCACAATTTGTATTGTTTCATTGGACTTTTGAATATGGTTTCTGTCCGATATTTTCACTTTCCATAAACCTGCAAGACCATAGATACTTTGAAGTAATATACAAAATTTTCTTTTACAAGCAATAACATTTTGAACATTTTTCATACTTGACTAATTCTTTCTATAGTCAATTGCACTTTTTCAATGTGAAGTTAGCCACATTGCAGTAGATTAAACATAAGTTAGTTTTCTATTTTTAATTAGAATTTTGTTTTGTGAGCATAAAAATATCATTTTCGATTTTATTTTCTGTGTATGCAAACATTTTTGCAGACCGAACGAGTCGACATCGGGTCGGCTATGAAAACTGACAGTCATGTTGTGAGCATGGATTGCACCTTTGCACCACAGCGAATTAACGCTACATTGATGCTTCATAACAACATGATGTTTATTTAATGTACAGGTCAATACAAAACATCTGGGATAGTCTTGTACATCAATAAATGTCTGTCTACAGTAGATCACCAGAATTAGACTTTTTACTCCAGTTACTTGCATTTGATCACATACATTTTTTTTCAAAGCTTGAACAAGTTTTGTAGTTTAAACTTTTTCAGTATTTCAATTAATAAGGCGTAGCATTCTGAAAAATGATATATTTCTCCATTATGCATGTACAATGTAAGTGTACATGAATATCTTTGTAATTTTGACTTTGAAAGTAGTATCTGCTTTGATATCAACATGACCATAATTACTGAGAGAATCTGAAGGATCTTGAATAACTACCCCCCGCTGTTTGATTTGCAGTCTAAAATTAGGTTTCTGCCCTTGTATAAATGGACAAAACATGAAATTTACTTGAATAGACATTTATTTTTTTATATAGGTGTATCCTATTAAAAGATATTCTCAAGATATTGACAGGATGAACATTTGAAATCAGGAACAGTTCATCAACTAAAAAAAGCGCACATAAGGACATAAACGGCACAAATCTCTACAGAGAGATATATCTCTTAGGAAAGATCTTGACCTCTCGCTCGTTGGAGGGCAGGAAATCTAGCCTATTTTTATTACCAAATAACTACTGACTGTTGACTTAGGATCTAGTTTAAATTAATGTTTTACTTAAGTATTCAAGAACATCGTATGTGTGTTTAAAATGGCTTTAAAGTCCGTGATTGAACAAATAGGTCCATATTTCTGGATAGTATATATAATGGTATCTCCGTTTGGCGCCAAATATTCGTTTGTCATTTATAAAAGAATGTTACCCATTGAGAAAGACATGTTCCCAAGGAGAAAGACACCGTATTTGGTTAAAACTGGTAGCTTTGTTTAATCCAAACTTTAACTGAATCAAATCACCCTATTTTAAAATAAAATGCAAGAGAGCATTGTTTTGTTTCTAGAGGGGGAAATATCTCTTTTAAATATTTTTTAGATATTCAAACCATTCAAAAGTTGTCAAAAATACTTTGGCATTTGGATATATCAATCCAAAAGGTCTCGTTTAGGTCTGATATGTGTAATGTGAACGTGGAAGAACATGACACGAAACATTTAAGTCAAACTCTAAGTAGATTTACATGTATCTCAATGGTTTATCCTCAAAAATATAAATATCAAAACACACACAAGAAAGAAAAACTTCCAGAACTAAATATCAGAGTTTTATTGTCTATATATAGGCTGTTTGGAAAACCGTATAGAATAGGTATGTATACTGTGTTTGCAATATGAACTCCATGGATCTACGGCGAATAAGAAATCATTTCAGGCTTCGGTTCAACAGCTGTTGAAGACAATGACATTATGTCTGTACAGCAACTGACAGCAGGACATGTTGACTGACAACTGCTTTTATCCCGGATAGGAGGTTAAATTGTCTTATCTTTTTAATTGTGGCAAGTATTTAGATATGTCGTAACAATGAGATGGCATTTAATTCATTTCCAGTCGCCTCATTAGGTCTTTCGTATAATGTTTCGGTCCCATTGAACAAGCGAGTACCCCACGCTGAGTTAAAAACTACTTTTTTAAAAAATACGTTTAATGATCCTATTTTCCAATCTGTTTGTATATTTATATCAAAGTTTGTTTTTAAGTGCTATGAAGATTGAAAGCTATTTCAGGGATATTTTTGAGTTTGAGTAGTTCTCCTATAAGTTTATGAAAATGGCTCCAACTGCACAATTATTACCTTAAAGTCTGTGTTCCAATCATGTGCACAGCCCCCCCCCCCCCAAAAAAAAAAAAAAAAAAAAAAAACAAAAAACAAAAACAAAAAACATGAAAAGACCACAAAAATAGCGTTTTGTAACTGCTCTCTGATACTATAAACCATAGTATACGCCATTTTCAACACGATAGATACACAGAGTCTGCAGACAAAATCTGCTAAATTTTCAAAAAAAAAAGAAGACAAAACCTGCTGGAAGTGTTATCTTCTTTCATCCTTTTGGCTAATCATTTCTTTTTCCACTAAAAGATATTCAAGAAAGAGTTTAGATTTTTTAAAAGTTTAATATTCTCTCTTTCGTATAAAAATAACACAACTTCACCATCATTTTTTCGTTTGAGTTTGAAAACACAGCCATGTCGCTTGTATTCATTAAAGACAAACACGATATATTAGAATTATGTAAATGATACGTTGCGTAAGTAATAAACTGTGCTAATGAAGCAATATCTGCTGCAAGGTTTCTATTTTCTAATGAAAAATAACTAAAACTGAATGATCAAAATGTTAAAAGCATTTCAAAGTTTTTTTCCTTTTTTCAGCTAGAATACAAATCAAAAATTTTGGCATGTGAAGTTGATACAAAATAAACAGTCATAAAAATATTTACATAGGATAAAAAAACCCACATTATATAATAGAACAATAGAACAGCTCTAAATAATGTTAAAGGTCTGTAATAGATCTTTTCTATAACATTTTCCTCATCAAAATCACAATAGTTAATAAAACAATGTACAAAATCTACCACATATCACTTTGGTAATTCATGTAATTCATCTTCTTGCCAATTATCTTGCAAAATCTTAAAATACAAATTAAAATGGTAGACAAAACCTATTAGGGACAACTTAATGCCACCTTAGACACAGCTGAGTGCCAAAGTTATCGTGATCAAGGCCTGGTTAACCAGATTTTGTGACCAATCTCTAATCTCTGCCAAAGAACGGATCATCGTTAAAAGAACAAAAAAGTTTCTGAATGTGCGAACACAATTTACAGAATATTTAAAAGTGGGTGTACACCCACCTAAAAATAATATGTTTCCAATGAGGCTGTGAGTAATACATTGTTACGGTCTTAAGTAAAAAATACAATTCTTATGTCCATCAAAAACAAAATACTGATATTCAGGCAATATAAACATTGTGTACCATGACTTGACATAATTAATGTGATTTTAGAAAACTAGTGATTGTCAAAAAGTGTACATACAGTGCTTGAAGAATGGATCTATGCCGTCCTGCAAAATAAATAGTTTATCTACAAAAATGTTTATCACAGATACAGAATATTAGGGGTGCCGTTAAACTTGGAATGACCTGACAAAAACAAAACACAAAGCAAACAAAAAGTGTTTAACGAGTTACAAACAACAAACAAGAAAACACAAAACACGCATTATAGGGTGGGAGAGATCATTTCTATTAAACACCTCTGTGTTAAGTTGTGATGTTCATAAAATTTTCAGTATCATTGGTTATCAAAACGCTGAAAGACGTTGATTTGCATCAAGTTAGCTTTTTTCCTGTACACTCCTTCTTTTCCAAATCTTGGTCGCCCAGTGCTACCACAACCTCTAAGAGCCAAGCTCGGACAACGGTTGATCAATAAAGTGCTTGCTAGGAAATATTCGTCTTTGGTAATGAGAAAAGTATTTGGCAACACGCATGTTTCAAGATTTAACACGTCTATTTTTGGACCTCCTTCAACATTTAATTAATCTTCAACCTGAAAGCTACTTTTGGTTCTCTTCTAACAAGCCATTGCTGTCCACTTCTTTATGTTCTTTTTCTCTTATGTAATTCAAATAGAGGTATTTGATTATTTCAGAAGTAATGACGTCATTAGCATTGTTACTGAACACACGGAGCACGTAACATCCATCTTGGCGTAAGTAATTGTCCACGAATCGACGAGCGACTTTCTTACTTCTTTCGCTTCCCACTTTGCCTGTTTTGTACAGTTTGTTGAGAAGAAGGTACTTCCGGATGTACGACTTCCGATGCTGCGGGAACATGAACGCATAAGCACTTACAACTAAGCTAAAAGCACTAAGGAAGGCTAGAAAGACATGCCAAAACCAAAGGAAGATAAAGATTTTCTCATTGAAGAGGTTGATAGGCAGAACGCATTGAACTGTCCATCGCTGTAAGTTTGTCATTTGGCGGATTTCGAAATCGCATAAAGTCACGCGAGGAAATCTTGGAGAATATGTCCAGTCTTCCCCGTTGTATAGTGACGTCAGAACCTCGATACCATAAACACTGTAGTCTGTCCCGAGAAAAGCGTTGAGCATATACAATTGTGATATAGCGTTTACCAGATACAGTACTTTTATCAGTAGAACGCATGAGACCAAGTAATTTCCGTAATGACGACCACAGAAGCAGCAGGCAATTTTACTCGCACGCTCTCGTAATCGAACGCACATACCAGCTCGAAAAGGTTGTATACCACTCAGCCACTGGTCGATGTACTTCACGATATGGTTTAACTTTTTCTCTCTGTCCTCTGGGGACACGTACTGTGTTTCCTTTGCTAGATTTCCTAGCTTATCCATGCTGATACCACTGGAGGCCGACAGAACCTTCCACACCATCCTCGGAATCTTAAAAAGCAGAGCAAGGATAAGAAGAATGATTGGAACCCACTGATAATATGTCAGTTCTTTCTGTCGGCGGTGGTCGACATTCACCGGAATTTGATTCTGCATTGGAATATAGTAGGTATTACTGACCCAGCACACGAAATTTGTGTAGTCCACGCGATTTTCCGTAAACTCTGTCGGACACCAACATTCTATGGGGTCGCCTACATACTGGTTCGTACTTACTATGACTGTAAATATTATCAATAATATAACCGTATAGTAATGGTTGAGTCTGTCAATGAAATCGTCGTCGTAGATAGTACGTAGTCCCACTTGCGCTTGAACTGTACCCAAAACATGATCCAGCCTAAAAAATTAAGATAAACATGTAATTTTCCTTATAAAGTGCTAAAATTTATCATCAGCTTTGTTTATTTATTACATGGTATTTCATTAATGAGTATCGATAACAAAAAAATCCACCTTTCTTTCTTTAAATTATTTGAAAAATTTGCTTATATAAAAAGTGATAATGATGTCTTACAGTATAAGATTATATTCAATTTACATTAAGCTTTAATTTCAAATTACGTAAGCAACGCAAATATTTGATCACTCGAAATTAAATTCATTTTAAAGTAAATTGGAACATGCAAGCCATCGTTTTTACTTGAAAAGCTATTGTGCTTCTGAAGAAAACAACTGTATCTAATTGAAAAGCTGTAGGCATCTGCAAGCATTGAAAGCAAATTAAATCTTGACGTATTAGTCTGTTATACAATAGTACACTTCCTTTATGCAAACATCGAAAATACCTGCTTTGTGTTTCTACCAAATTTAAGTGCAGAAGATATGTGAAAGCTCTGAATTCTTACTCCCTCCGACAGCTTTACGCTGAAGACAGAGCCATTAAATGTCATTATGTTAAGAATATCATCTTGCTTATCCGTAAGAAAGCCCCCCTCTTGCAGAGAGCGCGTCGAATTTCCTAAACTAATAAACTCATATATTCTAAATGCTATATGACGTCATAGGGCGGTTTTAAAGATGCACTCATATTGAAGACTTAAAAATGTTTGCAAGCGCACATGAATAAAATATCTATTATACATGTATATATAAAGTAAATATAAAAACTTAAGTGCAGTTATATTTTAAGTGTTTAGAACTTGGCCTATAATCCCTCTGTACTTCTAATTATATAAATTATAATTCAATGTACAATTAAAGAAATACTGCTTCTGTTTGTTAATTTAAATCAGTATAGTTATTAGCAAAGAAAAAAGTAAAAGAAGACTACTCTAATTACTTGTAGATGATAAAAGGGTTTAATATATCTTGAAATCGTAAAAAAAAATCCACACCAACGAAGAATGGAAACCTTCAGTAAAGAATCTAAAAACTAAGAAGAAAAAAATAACAAAACGAAATTCTGCAATTCTCCATACTTGGGTTGGTTTGGGTCTTGTGGATCGGGAGGTGGTGGTGGTGGTGGATCTGGAGGGGGCGGAGGAGGTGGCTTCCGACCAAGAAATTTATCCAGAACTGAGGCCGCAGTCGACATGATTTACTTGAGGTTTCAATACAGTTTATCTGGAACTGAGGCCGCAGTCGACATGATTTACTTGAGGTACCAATACAGTTTATCTGGAACTGAGGCCGCACTCGACGTGATTACCTTGAGGTGGCAATACATAAATTCACTACTAGGGATTGTTTGGGTCTAGTGATTCCTGGCATAAAATGGTTTACAATATTAACGTTTACATGCAAATTGCCATTCAATATAGAGTTGTAAAGAATTGTATTGAAAATTTACTATTTACTTAAAAACATCTTGTTCAATTTTTGAATTTGTCAATATTTTGTAAACTCGATAATATTTCAAAATGTAAAGAAGAAAGCGCTGCCTACCTGATGACCCTATGAACATTAAGTAGCCGTAATCACTTAGCATTGAACATAATAAAGAAAGTAAGTCCGCGAATAATCCTTAGTAAAAATAATCATACATCCATGCTAGCACGTTGTATTATTTTGGGGGCTTAGGATAAAATATGTCCCACCAAGTCGAGAAACACTTCCAAAACGGTCGTCTAAAAACTGACAACCTTCGAAGCGTTGTACTGACATTGATGTACAAGACAAAAGATTTGACAGGCGAAGAAGATGAATCTGGCGACAAAATACAGCAAACAAAAAGATAAAGATCGCTGTTTTATAATCTGAAAAAGGTCGAAATAATCAACGATAGATAAAGAGCCAACCCCTAGACTTTATGCAGCGCAACAACCCTGTTACCGGAAGATAACAATTTCAAGTGCCCATATTGTGAGTATTTCTCTACCAGATATTGATTGGTTCTTTCCATGCAACCAAAGAGAAATATGACAAAATACAGATATATCCTTATCGGCAGAACCAAGATACCTCCATGAAGTGTCAAGCCACCACAACAAACACAATGACAAGGACAGTGTTCGGAAAACAATAATGGTAATACTCTGGGAAAAGGTTGGGGGGAGGAAATCAACTAAAAATTGTCTATCTATGTATACAAGCCTATCACATATCTGGTTTACCTATCGGTCAAACAATCAGACCACCTATCAAATGTGTACACTTATAAAGCAGCAAAGTTGTGATACGTCAATTCATTTGTTCTTAAGTGTTAGGTTGCTGTTGTTTGGCGGAATTTCTTCAAAGGAAATTACACTTTGTCTACAGTCTTTTATACGGATATAGTTCACATTCATGATATAAGGTCTTACAGGATACTTGAAGCGATTTGCTCCCAAAATACACAGAGATCCCTTCTTTTAATAAAACAAAACTTATAAAAGTTTGTCAAGTACTTAAGGTGAAAAATAATGTATAAATCTAAAAGAAAATCCATGATCAGGCAAAGACGATGTAATAGAATGAAATTCTTGCAATACGTTATTGAATTTTTTTAGTTCTGGCTATTTCTCTTGAACTACTCAGACAGTTTCACTCTTATGCAAATGATATTTGATATATTTGATACTTGTATCGAAGTGCATGCATATTTAACGTTTTATACAGAATTGTCACGCAGAAAAGTCTTGCTTTTCGCCCTTGGAAGCGGGTCAGGGAACCTTTTTCTCATTACAAATATTTGTCTGTGTTCATTTTGAAATTCCAGGAGAAAAGCTATAAGGATTTATTGAATTGAAACTATTGGTTTTGATTTTAAAATCCTGGAGAGTGCCAACCTTCATTTAAACACCTGATTAACAGCCAAATTAGGTAGAATATAAGGCTATTATGCAGGAGACTTTATGCCCTTTGAAATTGACTTAAATGTAGCTATGTTATTTCAATATAATTGTGGTTAAATTAGGTCATTTCAATCACGGGTGTTTTAGATGTTGTGCAACTTCGAATTAAGCGGCTTCAAAATACTTTCACTATTACGAGCTTAGTTTCGATTCATAGATTAGTTTTTGAACGACTCTTTTCTTTACTTAAAACATAAACCTCAATACTTTACACCTCCATGGTTTTACTGTAGTTTAGAAGTGCTTCTTGCCCAACCCATTCTTAAAGTAACCATGTCTTAATTTTTTTAATGAAATAAATAACGATAACAAAAATTGCATCTTTACTCCTTCCAGAAAATATTGAAAGCAGTGAAGGAGAAGTGGTGTGAATTAGCATACTTGATTCCAATAGAATTCGGTCGAGCCGAACTTGGCCCGGTAAACCGGCTAAGCGCTTAGGATCAGGCCACCCAGTGAATGTACAGTATTTCTAACGTTACCTTACATAGAAAAGGACTAGGGTACATTAATACAATCATCAGTCATGTTCATTTCACCAGAGTATCCCGATTATTGTCTTCGAATAAACCATTTTCGAATACTATAATCTCCAAGGACGCCATGTTGAAGCCACTTGAGCCTATCCAATTTTTCCTGCTCAATTGGGTCACCTGGCTTCATGCAATACCAATACCGGCTCACGATCAAGTGTGTCGCCGGTCTTCCCCAGATCCTCATATTCAAGAATGCTAAATAAGATTTAGATACTTTAACCCTCCAAGGTTCTTGTAGAAAATATGAAATCACAAAATTTTATCAAAATCAATAGCATCAAAACGTATGACTTTTCAACGCTTTATATACCATTCCCCAGGATCGCTAACATCAAATACAACTGCTTCTTTAAAAAAGTGGAACATGTAAATTTGCATATCTTGTCGTTGGACATCTACAAACTTATTTTGTTAAAACATTCTGATCTAAACACAAGTGCTCCAAGGTTGATAGTGAAAAGATGCTTGAGTTTCTCATTGAGAATCTTTCTTTAATCCTTTGAGACCAGGTCATCCAACATCTGTTGGAATTCTCATGGATACTAACTGTGTCCATCATTATTTAGTATGAAGCAGATTTTATTCAAAAACTTCCACATGAAAAGAAGTCTCTTGCTGCGGCCTTCAATTCATCACTTACATATGTAGATATATCGACGACGTTTTATCAATCAACAATATTTATTTTTATGTCTACTTTGATTCGATATATTCCATTGAGCTAAAAAAAAAAACCATAATGAAAAAGACCACAGAGTCTGAAAAAAATTGTTTCATACTTGGATGTTTTACTAGAAAGACACTGATGGCACACTAACAAATAAACTTTATGATAAACGTGATGACTGCAACTTTTCTATCTATATGTAGCAATATACCTCATTACCTAAATATGGGAGTTTATGTCTCCCAGTTGATTCAATACACAGGAGCATGTTCTAGGTACGAACAATATCTAAAACGATGCATGTTACTCACAGATAAATTAATGATACAAGGATATTAGCAATTTCGTTTTACGTCAAAATTTCGCAAATTTTATCGTCGATGCAATGACCTTGTTTGTAAATACAGTCTATCATTAGGTGGAATATTGATCGTATTTCATACAAATTATTAAGCCATTATTTTCACACAGAATTGTTTACGGTTGACAGAGGATGCTCACTCCTTTAAAGCACCTGATCCGTCTCTGTTTTCAGAGGTCAGTGTTTGCACTTCTAACAATTTGTGTTGTTTAAATGGACTTTTGACCATGGTTACTGTTCGATATCTTCACATTTCATAAAGAAAACATATTTTTGATCCTACTTATTTAACTAATCGTACTAGTACTTCGTAGACCATGTACCATTTGTATAAAAATTAGACAAAGTTTCATGTTTTGCAAGTCTTGTTAAGAAAAATCTTTCTTATTTTATAAATAGATACTCATATGACGTTTACATCTAAGACCAACAATAAAATAAATATCCAAGACGGTGCTAAGTTTTATGCATCTTGAATTCATTTGCGAAAATATTTTGGTGAGTTTATCTAATTTTTTACTTGAATACATCTGTGTGATTCCTAGCAATTGTTCTAGCTTTGCTGGGAATTTGTGACAGCTGTTCAAGGCAAAGAATAACTGTAAAGCATCTCTCCACAGCTGCCTCTACATACCAGAGCTAGATCTAACTTAACAAACCAGTAACGTAAACCTCCCAATCACAACAAAATCACAAAAACAATGCCGCCAAAAATCACACCTGATTTCACGGACAATCATGTAAACCCACCCCCACTCCCCTTCACGACACAGAGAATAGAAACTATGGCGCCAAAATCATGCCCGATTTAACGGACAGGCAATAACGTAACTCCCCTTCCCCCCAACAAAAACAATGCCGCCAAAGATCACGCCTGATTTAACGGACAGACATACCAATATCCAGAGATAAGACCTTGGAGAGGGACGGCAATCGGTGTGTACCCCTAAACGTTAGATAAATTGTTTATAAGTTTGGGTCTAGTGATTGTTTATAAGTTGTTTTGATCCAGAAAAATACCATAGCTTTGGCAAGGTAATAATGATATATTAAAGTGGCATTTGCTGCCTACCTTTTACCATAGTCTCTCTGATCCTGTTGTCACACAAATGCTTTATAAATCACGAACCTAAAGCAAATTCCATAAATCTAAGATTTGGACATGTTCAAATACATGTATTGCTTTGTCCAAATCTACAGTTTAAACGATATGGATTTTTGTTGATATTCTGCTTCAAAAGTTTGAAAACCGCGAAGAGAGTACCTGTCTTTTATCTATGTTTGCCTCTCTCAATTTATCTACTGGAACATTTTATCGTCGTATGTATACCTCATCACTAAGTTTCTTTATTTTAAACTATGAATAATATTTTTTTACTTTTAAATTTTTATCTTTATTGTATAGTAACATTCAGGCGAACAGGCCGTGAAGACCGTACTTCAATATATTAAAAATAAAGTTGTACAGAACACTCAATAAAAGCGAATTAAATTAATTATTAATCATTATTTTTAAAAAGCTCGTAAGTCAAAAAAGTCAAAACTGCTTTGTCTGTACAATGAACATGTTTTATGGTGTCACTTTATATATAATTGTGGACGTTTTCTTTATTCTATTAAGGACATGGGTAGCCAAAAATATGTCAAATAACTGTAAAATAGTTTGAACAGGATTTATCTTTGCTAAAAAACATTTATCACGAAATTTTCCTTTTACAGCCATCTTTTTTCTTTATATAAATACCACCTCTTGAATGTCCATGTGTCCGTGTTTTATGCCCCGTTCAAGCAGATTTGTTTGTTGGGTTTTTTTTTTTTTTTTTTTAGATCGATCACTATTCATTATGTTCATCTTTTTCATCATAAGAATATATAGAAAAAATACTTGAAGCATCAATCGGAGTAGGATTTTTTTTTCTGTTTAAACACTGTTTTTTCTTGTATTAACCATAAAACAATGTAAATCAATCAGAAATACATGAAATACATTTAACCAGAAAATCTAAAAGAACATTTCTGGAGGGTTTCAGTTTTCATGTTTTTGTATTAATTTTCAATAAACTAGATATGAAAGTATAGATTGTAGGAGAAATACAAGAAAAAGGACGGCTTTAAAGGAAAACTTTTCATACATGTGGGTGTTTAGTAATAATAAAGCCTGTATAAATTGTTTAAAATTTCTATACCTACATTGTTGGAATATCCTATGCTCTTAACCTGAAACCGTGCCGTTGCTAGACGTATTATTTTCATGTACATGTATTTGAGTCTCTCCTTCGTACACTTTGTTTAGATATATATATGTATTAGTTTATTTGGATTTTCATTATGTAATTCTTATACTTGCTTTTTTTTTAATAAAAACTTTTTCAAACACAGCTACAGATGTTTTAAAGTCGCAATTGTAAAGTGATTCTAATAAATAGTTTTAGGTGATCTTTGGAATAAAATTTATAATTTACTCTACATGAGCAAACTTATCTACTTGTAAACTTTCACAGTATCTACTATATATAACAGTCTTCTGTGTTAACTTTATATTTTTTATCCCCAACTCCCTTTCTAAAAAAAAAATTTATTGCAAAATCCATCATAGAAATTTAAGCAAGTCTTATTCGCGTGATATACACCTAGTTAGTGAAACTGTTGGCAAAGCATTTATTTGTGTTTATAGGAGGAAAAGGGAAACTTATTTATTGAAGATTTCACAAGCAATATATACTGATGTATATACAGAACTTTGCAAATATTTAAAGTCATTTAGTGATTTGGATATTAAGGTCATATAAAAAGACACGTCAAGGGAAATCTATACCATCTTTTTGTCCGAAAATTTAAATGTCCTGATAATTTTCAAAGACAAAATATAAAATTTGATATTATTGAATATAAAGGCGCTGGTGTGACCTGACAATGTTTTTCGGGAGGTTATAGGAACAGGCTGAGACTTGTCTGCATTGCTTTAGTGGGTGTTTACAGATTGATGATGGGTTTATAATTATCTGAAAGCCCTCTGTCCGTGGACACTCTCATATATTGTGGGGGAACTAGAGAAAAAATATCTGGACATGTTTTAGTCGTTATAATTATCACTGTTGTACTTCTAACGATATGTAGTTGTTTTTTTATGTTGTTCAAAGCAAAAGTATGAAGTGTGTTCATGGCTTCTTTAATCAGTGTTTATTATTTTACCACACAGCAGTCCACTTCGCTAATACCCCTTTACATGACTTCGAAAAGAATAAAAAGCTGCATATTTGTAATCAATTAAAACCTAAGGAGTTATAACTTAATAGGTAGTGTAAAAAAAAAGTTTATTATTTTAAGTTGTTGCAAAGATCGTGAGAACCCAGGATTCTTTATTCTGTGTCACTGATCTAACAAGATCATTATACAGTAAAGCATCATAGCAGGTCATTTATCGAGTACAGGTACATGGGGAAATGTTCATACTATATCTATCTTACAACCTGAACATAATGATAATGCAGATACTTTTCATACTTTTCATACAGAAAAAACCAAAAGATAATGTCTGCCTTCTCTTAAAGCTGTAGAAACTCAATCGGCGTAAAATTTGCAGGTGAATAATAAACTTTTTTTTTACTGAATATTGTAGGAATATGTAGGTTAGATATAGAATTTCATCCTGTAACAACTGAGGAAAACCCAACGTAAATTCGCGGAAATATAGATGATAACATTATGAACCTAAGGATTTTTCAACAATGGAGTCAAGGAAATAAAGATTTTGATGTGCTAGAGTTAATTTCTTCAATGTTTTCTTGCACTATTTATTTACCAAACAATGAAAAGAATTTGGACCATAAAATGTTTGTTGCTTTTCTTTATTTTTTAAAGTTTTTTCCCATTAATATTTATTTTGTTGTTTTTACACCCGAATTTTCAATTCATTATTTTCAATTAAAGCTACATAATTGTATATAAGGTTACATTTATGAAAAAAATGTAAGTTTTATAAGATTAATGATGAAATAAAATAAGTTATTTATTGTCTTTTTTTTAGTACCAATTTCATTTGAACACAAGTTGTTCATTTTTAATTGCATATTTAAACAGTGTTTTGTGTGAATTTTTCAAAGACAATGCATTGGTGTTAAATTTAATGTTTCCATATTTAAAAAGAAAACTAATAATCAGTAAAATTAAAATTCATTGCAGAGAAATCTGTTAAGTCTCAAATTTGGATTTCCCATAACTGAGAGTAAATCTTATATCACTGCTGGCATGACTAGAAGTCGCAGTTTTACTCTCTTTCCTCTCATTTACATAAAAGCATTAAATAGCTATATTTACGGTCTTGTCTTGATTTTTGATTATCTATAACGGATTCTGTGGGTGAAATTTTGGAAAGCATATACCGTCCTGGCTTGGAAAATACACACTATCTGTAATAATCGATTTGTTGTCTAGCAGCTCTTGTCAGTTCGGAACCTCTAATTACTGGGTACACTTTCTCAATGACTTACTCCATTCAGATAATTAAGTTTTCATTGTTATGGTCCTAATTTTTGGGAGCTTTTCCTCTTTTTTCCGAACTTTATAATCACCTCTCTCTATACTTTTACTAATTTAAACAAGAATAGCCTTTTTGAATTGGTGTACTTAACGTTTCTACAATTGTTTCCTCTAATTCATTTCTTTTCTTCGCTTCTTTCACTTAAAAGCGACACTTAAAGAATATATATGTGATGTTAAGTTAAGCCTGTCTCCACTTTAATCTTGAATTGAACAGGGCAGTGAAATATAAACAAGTTAAGAGCACATGTGTGTTATATAGACACCATCTCTTATTTTTTTAGATCAAGCTTGCCAATAAAAATAAATACTTTGTTTTGTGATTTTTTCCTCTCATTCCCCACATGGGATTAAAATGTTAAGTGCAAAACATGCAATCCAGTGGTTAATCGCAGCTTAAAAGTATAGCAGTGATTCAAATTGGATAAGTCAACCAATAAAAACTCAAAATTTACGAAATTTTAGCGTTCCGTGCAAAAAGACGGTTAGATGCCGTGCATTCACACATTATCATACACTGGCCGTGGTAACTTACCAGTCAAAGACCGTCATGGAACTGCCCGTCTCCACACACAGTCCGTTACCCATGGTGCCGAATTTCTTCCTCAAGAATTTTAAGAAAATATATGTATATTATCTACGTAGATAGAAAAAAACCCACACACAAACAAAAATGAAAATCACTAATTATTCCTTATTCCAACGATTCAATAAAAGTTAAAATCCCATCTTGAATTTGTTGAAATATTTCTTCAGTGAGATGATATAGCTGTAGCACTCGGTCACAGTTAATGTCAGAGACATGTTTGAAGATTCCTAAAGAAATATCCGAAATACAAAGAGTCTGGTGCACGGTGAAGCCAAAAACGCAATGTTTGGTTGTTCGAAAAGCACCGCTGGCTTGTTATGCTCTAATCAGCACTGCTAATGCATTGCAGGGTTTTACAATGCCTTTCATGAGAGTAGCTAGTTTAAAATTCCTAGTATATATGGATATATGACTTAAATTTCTTCGGGATACACAAAAGTTGACTGGTCTTGCGCGTAATAATCCACTGGCAACTCGCCACGACGAGGTGCATTATTGTTTCGCCTTTGTTAATTTAAATTCTAAACACAATAATCATTTTCTTTGCGGACTGTTTGCTGGTTGGTTTGATCAGTATTGCAAACAGAAGAAAGAAAATCATTGAAGTGGATAGATATACATTTAGATTTAATAACTTGGAGTCGTCGTATTTGATTGAATTGCAAAGACCTCTAAAATAGGGTCCATTTAACTGTAACCTAATTCCCTGCGATAAAACTTAGATATTATTGAATATTTCAACAGAAATGTTGAAGATATTATGCTGAATTAAAGATATTTTAGAATTATACAAGTAAATGATCGGTGATTTGATCTCAGAGGAACTCCATAGCGCTGACGTCCTGTGCCCCTTATTTCATTAATTAGTCATGCCCAGTTTCCGCGGGAAAATGTGTGGCACCCACATACATTTATTTTGAAGTCGCTGGCAAACTTTCATGGTATTAATCATGGTTTATAATCCTCTAAATTATGTTTCAATTCTTCCCTCGTGTTTTTGTACTTTTACAGTTTTCTGTAAACATCAAACTTCTTTCTAATCCTTTATCCAAACTTTCGATGAGATCGAGCATCAAAAGAGGTTTTTATTCTTCACAAAATTATAAACTAATGTGAAGTAATTGTACATAATCTAGAATGCAACGGCGTGTAGTCAAACATATGTCAGGTAACTGTCTACATGCGCATCACACGCGCGCCAGATGGCAGAAACTGACATAGATGTTTTATCCAGAAGTGTGCCTCTCCCATTTTATCGCCCTGCTTCCCTGCACATAACACGTGCTGCTAATAAAACCAGCACTACTTAAACACATCGAATATTTTGTTAATAACTGAGTACCTGCAAACGAAAATTAATTCATATGCCCATTAGATCATCTTAATTTACCAGAATCTTCTATGATATAAAGGTTTTTGGAGAGATCCGGTAATGTTCAATATTTTTACAGACAGATAAAAAAGAGATTGGCTTCGCAATGCGAGTCATTACTTATTAAAGAGGGAAGTCGCAATGTTGGAGAGAGATAAACGAAAATTTGATACTGAACAAAAAACCTTTCCTAAGGGAGGGTGTTAAATTAGCAAAAAGACAGAGGTGCCACATAAACACCTCAAGTACATGTATATATGTGTAATTCAGAGAGAGAGAGAGAGAGAGAGAGAGAGGAATGTTTTTTTACATGCTTTGAAAAATCTAGCATACATCTGATGAGGCAAGGTTTTATAGTAGTGTAATTTTATACTACTTTTTTCAGATAAACGATAAACCTTACTTTAAAAAATCGAGCAAATATCTGATTATTGGAAAAAATTTCTAATTTAATTTTAGGGGGGAAACTTATATACAATAACCTTTATTTAGACGGAAAGTGTATAACAACTAGGGGAGCAGATGGCTAATTCATTTAAACAGATTATTTTTCAGTTTTAGGACCTGACATGACCTAGTCCTCTCAAATAGTGAACCTCCTCTAAAAGCAAGACCAGCTAGCACAGGCGTGTGATAATCGGCTAGCACAGGCGGGTGATATAACAAGCTAGCACAGGCGGGTTGATATGAATGGCTAACAAGCTAGCACAGGGGGGTGATATAACAAGCAAGCACAGGCGGGTGATATAACAAGCTAGCACAGGCGGGTGATATAACAAGCAAGCACATGTGGGTGATATGACAAGCTAGCACAGGCGGGTGATATGCGGGTGACACAAGAGGGTGATATTACCGGCTAGCACATGAGGGTGACATGACCAGCTAGCACATGAGGGTGACATGACCAGCTAGCACATGAGGGTGACATGACCAGATAGCACATGAGGATGACATGACCACTAGCACATGAGGGTGGCATGACCAGCTTGCACATGAGGGAGATATGACCAGCTAGCACAATCTTTCATTATTTTATAATGTGCTTAGCCCAGCCACTCAATTAAAGTTCTTTTCAAATAATTAATGATATCTTCAATTCTGAATTATGGACACATAAAAACAATTGCCCAAATCATTACAAGTAAAATAAATATGCTGTACTGATGTACAGTAATTAAATTGCTGCTCTCTTGAAACGAATTAACGATGTCTACAATTAAATTGATGCACGCAAAAATTAATTTATCTGAAGAGAGCAATAATTTAGCTAATACGCTCAATAATTCAAAAAATTGTTATCTTCACTTGGAATATAAGCAATCTCTCATTAATTCAAAATATGTTACATTTTAAATTTCATAATGCTGAAAATCATATCATGTGATGATTACTTTATGTTAACTTTCTGAGACTTAAGAAACGGTGTAATACATAAAATAACAATGAAGCTCCGCCGAATGATTGAAAGCTTGTAAAGAAAGATAACTCTTCATACTCGTACAAATGAAGATGTCTTTTCATACAAATAGCCAAAAAATCCTTTCCATCTCAAAACATGGAGATTTCGTAAATTATAGATATATTTAACTAGCTTCTCTAAAATAGGGTGATGGATTGACATTTCAATAATAATAGAAATATTATTATGATAGTTGTTATTCGATAATGAATAAATATATGGTCAAAAAAGTTTTTATTAATAAAGATCAATAAATTACCTTCCTATATACAATTTTTCATTTGTCTTCACACCAACAATCAAGAACTGGTTTTGCTCTTGTAGTCTAAGGACTAGTTCACATGTACTAGTATTTCCTTTTATTTGTCTGTATATTTTCTTGATTTAAAAAAAAATTAAATATAGTATGAGTTTGTGTAAATAAAAGTAATATAGTGGCTATAATATATTAAATGAGTAATTTTTATTTTATTAGTAAGTTATACTCGTAAGTAATGTTTTATGCATCAAAAGGTGAAAAACATCTTTAGTCAAGTGTTTTTATTCAGGTCCCTCTAATTGGTCAAGGGGGAAAGTTGCACAAACATCACTAGTCACGTGTTACTCATATTGATCATGGGGGACAGTCGTCATTGAGCCACCCGAACCTGTCCTTGTATGTGGACCAGATAGTGTTTCCTCTGCATCCTCTTCTTAGAGGGGCCATGCAAGAGGAAAATCGTTCCCAGTACCTAAAATAAAAAAAAAAATTAAAAAATGGCCTTGAAATAGAATACAGAAATTACCCAACTGAGAAGCACGCATGCTATAAATAGACCGAAACTTTACTCAATAAGTTCTAAATTCCCCGTGTATGAATACGTACACATACTTCATAAAATCACTTTTAAATTCAATTAAAACTGAGAATTAATCAAAAAGAGTAAAAAAAAAAAGCAAAGGAAAAAATCACTATAGTTTTTACCCACAAATGTCCTCAGCCATTTCGTCTACCGTGGCAGAGGTCAGAATGTCAGTGCAGCCCAATATCCCCCAAAAGTTACACCCAGCAGTGACTAGAATATACAAAGAGGAAGACAAATACCAGAAATATAAATGAGGTCTTAGTGTCACAGGTGCTTGGGGACGGGATTCTTCCTTTCCTCCCCCTGTCCGTAACCCATGGGTTCTTCAACTTTAATTCATACTCACGAAAAATTTTCTTTTAGTATCATCGAGTGTGAATTTTTATAAAAGGTTAGTTTTAGGTTATATTTGGATTTTTCAATTGTGATAATTTGTAAACGTGTCATAAAGATATTTTATTAAAAAAAGTCGAAGAATCCTTGGGGGTACGAACCGGGATGTGGGGGTGGTGGGTGGGGAGTCCTTTCCAGAAGCCCCTGTGCTCAGTGTTAGTAAAAGTGCAGTCGACTATATACTGTAGTATGTAATATATTTGGATTATGTAAAGGCTGTTTCTCATATTATTCCAGATTGCAAAGTCAATTGTATCACCAAAGAAATACTGCAAAATACTAGTTCACGGACACTTAACTGTTCTGTATAAGACGAGATTGAGCTCTAAGCACTAATTGAAAATGTTTTTTGACTTAGAGAAAACATATAAAAGCGTAGACCATTGCATTAGACAAAGATAAAGTATTTACATTTTTGTATATGATTGTATATGAATTTTTTGACATTCATATATATCGACTCGATATATCCCAGTGAGCTTGAAATAAAAGGTACCATAGAGTCTGACACATCTCTTTCATATTTGGATATTTTACTAGAAAAAAGACTTTAATGGTAACCAAGCTTAATAATTGATAATATACGGTGGAATATAACAATGAAGCTTTATGATAAACATGATGACTTCAATTTTTCAATCTTCAACTTCCCTTACTTATGCAGCAATGTACCCTTATCACCTGCATATGGGTTTTTTGTCTCGCAGTTGATTCGATACGCAAGAACATGTTCTACAAATAAACAATTTCTAAAATGAGACAAGCTATTGACAAACAAGTTGATGAAACAAGTCTCATTTGAAGTCATCATTTCGGAAGTTTTTTGGTCGATACAATGGCCTTGTCAACAAATACAACTTATCATTAGGTCAATTACTGACTGATGTTTTTCATACTAATTGTTAGACCATTATCTACACACTGGATTGACTACGGATCTTTCCCCGATCATGACGGGGAGCACACGGCGGGTGTGACCTGTCGGCAGGGGATGCTCACTTCTCCATGGCACCTGATCCCACCTCTAATATTTTTGGAGGTCCTTGTTTGTTCTGCTCCCGATTTGTATTGTAAGGGCCTGTCAGATGTCTAAAATTTTACTATGGTTTACTGTGTAATCATAGCAGGGCGGGTGGACTTTACTTGTAATATTATTTCATGTGTGTCAAAACGTTGTGCCAGAATTGGTCAGGAATGTTAAAGTTTGCATTTATTTTTACATACCATGAATTAGTTACCTTTCATTTTAAATCTGCATGTATTTCTTGAGTCAACTGTCATTATCTTATTAATTCTACATGTGTAGATTAGCTGCAACACTTTAAATCATCTGCTGCCATGCAACTTGTTTACATCCTGTCTGCCATCTTTATCGGTGCATGTTAAGTAGATTAGTTTCGTATTTAACCTCATGTTATTCATGTTACATTACTGGCATAATTACTTGCTATTAATTATGTTAATTATTATTGTGATTTCTAATATTCATTTCAGTACTTGTTATTCCCGATTACATGTATCTAAAACTTGCACTATATTTTTATCCATCCGCGATATCGTCTGCATACTCAGCAAGTTTACTTCTGTGAAATTTACAAGTTTCAGAGATAAATTGTTTACTTACTTATTATAGACACATCTTTTGTCATCCATATTTATTGATTATTTTGTCTTTTCACAACTTAATTCCTGGGTTTGTTTATAATCCATATTGTACGACAACTTTGTTTGACAGTACGACACGATTTTTATTTTGTACGATGTCGTACATTGTCGTGATTGGTGGAACGTCGCCGTACAGCATTTGTATTGGTTGAAACTTGTCATGTGACCCTTTTCCGAAGGTTATATATAGGGGGCGATCGCATTATGTCATCAGATAATTTGCCTAGTTGTCAGGCGCGTAAATTCAAAGTAGAGATCCAAGATCCGCCCATATTTTCACCATAGCCATACTATTGTGATTCCAGGTGAGAAAATGTTCGACAATTATCTCCCAACACACTGGACACCTATTTTATTGTAATTAACTCTGGAGATCATCCTACTATAGCCATTGTACACCCCCCCCCTTTTTATAATAGTAGCCTGTACGGTAGACGCCACCAATATATGAATTGTACCTGTTCAGATGAAAACTATATTATGATTGATAAATATTACTGAGACGAAGATGAATCTTATGTTTTCCCTATTACCAAGGGACCAAGGATTTTAGTACAGGAGTACTGCCAGTTATTATTTTGTAGCGTCCCCAACTTAAGCTTGGCCATTCCCGGGGAGCTTACAGTATTGTCTAAAAGGACTTTGAGCTTGAGTACTGTTCGTTATCTCCATATTTCATTTAATGAGTTTATCTAGTTTGTTTTAAACAGAGGAAATTAAACCTGTCAAATATCTCCAGGAAAAATAGTCAAAGACAATAAAGTATTAGAGAACAAAAATCAGTTGTTTACTTACGATGGGAATATACGAACATGTACAAATAAAAATGTAATCAGTTACTTTATCTTTGTCTAATGTAATGTAATGAATATTTTAATCTATTTTGAATTGTTTCATTATCTGTAGATTTCTATTTATTTCATCTTAGATCAAAGGACAGATCACTATGTCTGCATGAACTTCTTCGGAATAAAACACTCTTCAGTGCCAACGCCTACCGTGACAAGGGACCTCGGTTTTTAAGTTCTTAGTGGCAAACGAAAAAAATAAGTCACACTAAACTGGGAAACAGCCAGTAGATAGATTAAATCTTATTTCTGAAATTCACTGAAATGCAAGATCTTACTTTGGCTATGGAGTAGCAAACAGGCAATGAACACTAAGGCTCTCCTCATGATTTATGGATAATCCTAAAATGTTACAAAATTAACATGTAAAAGTTAATTATCAATTAAATCAAACAACACCTGACTGTAGTTGTATTGTCTTTTCACATTAAATTGGAGATTTTAAGTTATCTAATATCATACAAGTACTATACTACATTACTTACCGCTTCTTCGGGTCAAAATGGAGTATGCGTCGCTGAAATAACTTGCAATTAAAATATGAAAACACTTCAAACAGTTCACTGTTTTAGGACACACAACCTCTTTTATGAAGTACGTCACGAATAAAGGCACTAAAAGCTAGCCTGAATGTATAGTCAGATTCTGGCTCATCTCTACCATTTCAAAAAATCGACGAAAATAGTCCGATGACTGATTTTTCATTTTTGGCTGTTTGGTGCTATTGAGTTAAAGATTTACTGGTGAATAACTCTTTTTCAATTTTTTTAAATGAATATATTAATGGTGACCTGTAATTTATGTCAAAGGTAAATACAATATCATAAATTCAGAAACAAACAAGTGAAATTGTTGCAAAGCATCAAATCGGCCGCAAAAATGTTTAGGATTTTAAAGTATTTCCATATGAAAGAGTCAAAAGAAAATAAATTTCAAAGTATAGAAAAGTATATGAAACATTATTCTTGCAAAACTGTGCACTTAGCTTCTTTTTATGTGCATTTTTTTCCTTTTTCCCTTTCTGTGCATTTTTGAATACTTTAATTTTCAGTGAATTGATAACTATTAATCAAAATTAAGTCATGATTATGGAAATCGGGGATAAAGGATAGGGTGATATCATCATCAAATTATTTATTACAAAATGATGATGGCACGTAAAACATATACTAGTATCTAAAATTAATAATTATGAATGTCTCAATGATATTCTGACAAAATGGACTAACAAACTTTTTTACGTGCTGAATACCATGGATCTTTGTCACATGATAATGCCAATGTTTTCGTTGTGATAGACATGTATCACAATAAATGCGAAGTGCAGAAAAAATTTTCGATGTGCCATTTGCAGCTGTAGTCTATTCAAAACAAAATTTACGTTAAAATTTTTCAACATTTATTAATTATTTTGGCAATGTAATTAATATCCGGAAACTCATTACGTTTTGCGTTTATATCTTACACACTCCCATGTTGGGGAGCAGTTCATGTAACATTTTTTTTTTTTATAAAATCATAAATTGTTAAATATCTGATGAGAAATGAAAAAAAAAAAAACAAATTTAAAGCTAATTAAAACCATTTACACTCATTATTAAACAACTTTTAAAAACTTTTATTCAAATTTTTATGCATGTTTTCGATAAGGAGTATTCTATTGACCAATGAAAAAATAATATCTCATTTCCCCATGTACACATTCTTACACAACCACCAATAGATCGGCCACTCCTGCGGCTGATAATAAACAAATTATTCAAATGAATAAATAATCATTTAACGCTCATATCTAACATTTATGATTGATACTTATTTTTCAAAAAGTTTTTTTTTTTCAATTTTAGGACACATTTGCAGTCACATCAAATAAACGATATTTTACGAGAAGATTTGACTTGGTGAGCTAAATCTTGACGGAAATACTGAAGTTCTTCAGTGATAAATCTTACATAGCAGGGTCAATGTGTCAGTGTCGAACATTGACTCTAACTGCTTCATTAAAACAATAAGACATAATTTCACAAACGATGCTTATTAGATTATGATTTTATTTTAAACACATTTTTTTCTTAGATAATTTAAACAAAATAACATTTATTGAAAAGAATTCATGTTCACTCTAACTTTAATCCATTTTGACGTAATGCCCACTCTCCCAGCCATGAGCATTCCTCCACTGAAAATGGAGAATTTTCAATTGAATGACAATAATTTCACAACAAGCAGTCCGTTATTTTTTGTTTGTCATTTCCCTCGTATGTTAAAGGCATACTGTTTTAATTTCAAAAATGTGACGGACAAGTCAAAATATTTATGTATGATTTTTACAAAAATGTGATGGACAAGTCAAAATAATTATATCTGATTCTTATAAAACCTTACACAACAAAACACTAAATTATTCACTGTGAAGCAAATAATTCATGAGAGGTTAGACTTATTTTATTATTGAACATCTACTAACGTTTCTTTTGGTCTTGCATAGAATTTAACTATAATTCGGATGAAATATATGCATTGATTCTTATTTATTTTTTGAACAACAGAAATATCTCAATATGATTTGAAATTTTTCCTTAGTCATTTCAGATATTAGTCTTAGAGATAGAATTTGTACAACAAAGGAACAATATGAGACAAACAACCTTGGCGATTTGTTTGCTTGTTGGCCTGACTTTGAGGATTAATTGTGATGACGGTGTGTATTATTGTTTCGTTTGCTTGTCTGACTGACTTTGAGAGATGGTGTGTATTAGTGTTTCGTTTGCTTGTTGGATGGCTTTGAGAGTTGATTGTGACGATGGTATGTATTAGCGTTTCGTTTGCTTGTTGCCTGATTTGAGAGTTAATTGTGATGATGGTACGTATTAGCGTTTCGTTTGCTTGTTGGACTGGCTCTGAGAGTTAATTGTGATGACGGTGTGAATAAGTGTTTCGTTTGCTTGTTGACCTGGCTTTGAGAGTTAATTGTGATGACGATGTGAATTAGTGTTTCGTTTGCTTGTTGGCCTGGCTTTGAGAGATGATTGTGATGATGGTGTGAATTAGTGTTTCGTTTGCTTGTTGGACTGGCTCTGAGAGTTAATTGTGATGACGGTGTGAATTAGTGTTTCGTTTGCTTGTTGACCTGGCTTTGAGAGCTGATTGTGATAATGGTATAAATAAGTGTTTCGTTTGCTTGTTGACCTGGCTTTGAGAGATGATTGTGATGACGGTGTGAATTAGTGTTTCGTTTGCTTGTCTGACTGGCTTTGAGAGCTGATTGTGATAATGGTATAAATAAGTGTTTCGTTTGCTTGTTGACCTGGCTTTGAGAGTTAATTGTGATGACGGTGTGAATTAGTGTTTCGTTTGCTTGTTGGACTGGCTTTGAGAGTTAATTGTGATGATGGTGTATTAGTGTTTCGTTTCCTTGTTGGCCTGGCTTTGAGAGTTAATTGTGATGACGGTGTGAATTAGTTTTTCGTTTGCTTGTTGGACTGGCTTTGAGAGATGATTGTGATGACGGTGTGAATTAGTGTTTCGTTTGCTTGTTGGCTTGGCTTTGAGAGTTAATTGTGATGACGGTGTGAATTAGTGTTTCGTTTGCTTGTTGGCCTGGCTTTGAGAGTTAATTGTGATGACGGTGTGAATTAGTGTTTCGTTTGCTTGTTGACCTGGCTTTGAGAGATGATTGTGATGACGGTGTGAATTAGTGTTTCGTTTGCTTGTCTGACTGGCTTTGAGAGCTGATTGTGATAATGGTATAAATAAGTGTTTCGTTTGCTTGTTGACCTGGCTTTGAGAGTTAATTGTGATGACGGTGTGAATTAGTGTTTCGTTTGCTTGTTGGCCTGGCTTTGAGAGATGATTGTGATGATGGTGTATTAGTGTTTCGTTTGCTTGCTGGACTGGCTTTGAGAGTTAATTGTGATGACGGTGTGAATTAGTGTTTCGTTTGCTTGTTGGCTTGGCTTTGAGAGTTAATTGTGATGACGGTGTGAATTAGTGTTTCGTTTGCTTGTTGGACTGGCTTTGAGAGTTAATTGTGATGACATTGTGAATTAGTGTTTCGTTTCCTTGTTGGCCTGGCTTTGAGAGTTAATTATGATGACGGTGTGAATTAGTTTTTCGTTTGCTTGTTGGCCTGGCTTTGAGAGTTAATTTTGATGACGGTGTGAATTAGTGTTTCGTTTGCTTGTTGGCCTGGCTTTGAGAGATGATTGTGATGATGGTGTATTAGTGTTTCGTTTGCTTGCTGGACGGGCTTTTAGAGTTGACTGTGAGGATGGTGTATATTTGCCTTGCTTACCCTGATTATTTTTAATGCTACACGTTAAATACGAAGGGTTTGGAAGTGGAAAGGTTACTACATGTAACTTCGGAAATTACTCTTTAAGTCTAGATCTTCTAAGAGAAATTTCAAACCAACATTCTCTACCAAAAAAAGCTCTCCATGTCTTTCTTATAATTTATTTTTGTATTTTTTAACATTAGATAAACTAAATGCAATAAATAGTTCGTAAGGGTATCATTATATTGCAGACATAAAAAAGAACCAAAACAAACAGTATGAAGTTGTCCTATTATAATTATTTCAGTTTACAACATTGTGGAGAGCTGTTTCGTTAGTTGTCAAACTTATTCGACGTATCGAGACGACTAGAAATCACATTCTTGATTGTGTATTTATCAATGGATAACTAAACGTTCTGACCCTGAAACCCTTCTTTTTGTTATTTCTGGTAGAGTGTTCGCTTACAGGAGAAACATGCTATGTCGTCCTTGGATGTTGTCGAGAGGCATATAATAAGGCTGCAGACAGAGAGGGAATTAGCTGCAGGTAATTTTTTAATATTTAATCATTAAATTACAAGACATTTTGCTTGAACATTAATAATTTAAACATCGTATGCATTATAATTTCAAAAAATAAAACAATTTTATTGCAGGGGAAGCTAAAATATAATCCTGATAGGTCAAAAGCAATAATGTTAATCACATGCCTTTCGATCGCTTTAATCCGACTGACAAAGTTGGGATATAAAAAATAAGTGTAGAACTTCTCAAATAGGGTACACAGTTTCGCCGATGATATACTAATAAATCAAATGATTTAAAATCATATTTTCTATTCATATCTATTCATATATAATCATTCTACATTGCTACCAATTGCGTATACTTCCCAGGATATGCTGAAATGAATTCCAAATTAGCTTTGGCCTCTGATCATTTACACTATTTGTGAAGAGGGTACGACGGCACGATTTTTTCCGGAATTTATTCTATACTCTCTTAAGCTTATTACCACCCAGCCTCTCGAATACCTTATTTTTTTTTTACCTTCAGTTTGTCAGTCGGAAGGCGATGTAAAAGTCTTTTTAATTGAAAACATGGGAAAAAAACAATGAAATGTAATTCATTTCTTAGAAAACATCTATTATACCTTTCTATTGCTGGGTTCAAATGATCATTTTACAAACATGTTTGCGCTTCTTGACGCCATTATTTGGCAACACTCTTTAGATATATTGCTTGTCAATATATGGCTTTGCAGGAGCACGAGTTGATTTCCACTTCATTTGAGTCACAAGTACTTGGAGACAAGACGTCTGGGTTTATTGGACAATTTTTTTCACAAACATATTTTTTACTTTTATTAGACGTATACTATGGGAAGAATCGGGGGGGGGGGGGGCAGAGCAACATTTTCTTCTTATGTATAGTCGTGGATGTTTTGTATTGAACGATTTTGTTTTGTTTATCAGCGAGACGTCCTGTCCACAAGTACCTATATAAAGTCGAGATTTTTTTCTTCATCAAACGATTTTTTTTTTGTTTTTAAAGATTATTCGGTGGTTTTAGTCCTTTATGCAAATCGTATATAAAGTCTGTATTTATTCAGTGCTTTATAAAAACTTAATCCCTATAATATCCTTTGTTTATAGAGTAGCACAGAATTTCGCACGCTGTCTCGAGCCGCATAGACAGAGATGCAGCGATAAGCAATCCTGGCTGGACCACACCAACTTTGCAAATACGATGATCGAGGTCTTTAACTGTTAAGACACTAATAATGTGTCAGTGAATGAACCAGTGAATTCTGGTTAGCTGAATCACCACAGTTCAATTCATATTTTTCACATGGAAACACTCCACTGCATTAAAAAAAATCAGATGATCGGATGAGGCCTATCCCTGTTTATCCATCCGATCACAAAGCATTAAGAAACTTGAAACAATTTTCGCGCTTTATTCGTTATGCATGTTCCTGTAATTTGTCATTAAATGTTCTGAAGAGATTTTTTCGAGACGTTTCCTTTGTAATATTCAATGTAATAGGTTAAGTAATAAGCATACAATGTAACAGGTCTATAATTAGCAGTGTGATAAAAACACTTTCTATATGTGTACAAGGATTGTTTTAACCTAGTCATTTGGAAGCAGTCAAGTCATGAATGAGTGTTTTGAGAAATAATTGTCGACAGTTTTAAATTGTTAACTGTTGGAAATAGTTAATTCGTTCGTGCTTTTTTATTTTAAATTTTTGTACATAACCAGTAAAAAAATGCTGAGAAGTAGTAAATATACATGTCCATTTGGGTTGTATGCTTTCTGAACTTTACTTTAAAAATTAAAAATACATGTACTTCATACTGAATTTGGCTTTAACATTAAGTTTTTTTTTTGACTATATGATTTCTATGGTGGCATATTTCTGCCCCTGATATGAAACTTATTTTTCTATAGATTATGTCGACAGGTAAGATAATTATATTAACATGCAACATAACCATGGGGCTAGCTGGACGGAATTAAAGGTTTGAAAGCGTCGAAATGCCAAAGCTACTCTCGACCAGCTAAGGGCTACATTGTCGAAAGAGTTGAATGATACCTCTATGAGAATAATAAATACACTGATGAACTCCTTGCAGAGGAGAATCAATGCTGTGACAGATGCTAGAGGGAGGCATAGGAGATAGTGAGAATTTTCTATTTTCACTTTTGACTTTCAATAACTCATAAATTATTATACAAAATCAAATGAGATTCTGGTTACTTGTTGATTAAAGATGAGGTTAGATAACAATACACGAAAATACGATCGAAAAAATAATATTAAATCACTTCAAACGTTTACCCTGCGTTTCTTTTTTCTTGCAGTGTTTAAAGATAACAAACAGTAATCAAGCTCAAAAGTTCATTGAAACAATACAAATTTGGAGCAGAGCAAACACGGACCTCTAAAAACACCAGAGGTGGGATCAGGTGTCACGGAGGAATAAGTAGCTGCCGTCGATCGGTCACATCCGCCGTGTGCTCCTTGTCATGATCGGGCAAACGAAGAATCCGTAGACAATTCACTGTGAAAATACTGGCCTAACAATTTGCATGAATAACGTCAGTCAACATTCGACTTAATGATAGATAGTATTTGCAGACAAGGTCATTGCATCGACCATAGAATTTGCAAAATGACTTTAAAAGAGGCTGTTGATATTCTTGTGTCATCAACTTATTTGTCAATAGCTTGTCTCGTTTTAGAAATTTTTTCATACGTAGAGCATTACGTATCGCTTTAACTTGGAGACATAAACTCCATATGCAGGTGATAATGGTATATTGCTACATAAATAAGGGAAGTTGACGATAGAAAAGTTGAAGTCATCATGTTTATCATTAAGTTTTGTTGTTACCATTAACGTCTTTTTCTAGTAAAATATCCAAATATGAAACAGATGTGTCAGACGCTGTGATACCTTTTATCTTGAGTTCAAAAGAATATATCGAATCAAGTAAGAATGAAAAGGAATATTGTTTAATGATAAAACGTCGTCGATATATCTAAATGTTGATTTGAAGGCCACAGCAAGATCAATTTGAATTGGGTAAGTTACTGAGTTTTTATAAAGAAAATAATGACACAATATTGAAAATTCCTTTCAATTTTCAGAAGCAATGGCCTCAATACATCAGAAAAACGATGAAAATTTGTCTCAAAATTTTGGTTGCATGAATAATTGTATTTTATTGATTATTTGAACAATATCGCAATATCAGTATATAAGATATTTAATGATCAAGACAGTGTTTCATTATTTTCTATAGTTTTCTAAGTTACTACTGTATACAGAGTTATTTTACCCCGTGTTATTTCGCCATATTGCACTTCCAAACGATTTCGCCCATTTTAAATGTTGTGTTTAAAGAAATAAGTTTGTCTCTTCAATTTAAAATGATGCAAAAAATAATTATATCTTGTTTGAAACTCTCATGTTATAGATTTTAATATTTTTGTAGTTAGTGTTATTTTACCGTGTTTTGAGAATATATCATTTTATGTGACAAACGTATTCAAAATAAGGACCACAGTTTATTATAATTGTTCGTTATAGCATAGGCGGACAACAGATGTTCGTCTTATCATAAATAAATAACATTCAGGAGAGGTGAGTTTAATTTAAAAACTTTAACTTGTACATTAAAAATATGTATGCAGGTGATCCTGGAATATTACATATAGGGGAAGTTGATAAGAAAAATTGACAAATTCAGACAAAAGAATAAAAATTATTTATTCAATAAATACTATTTTCATATGCATGTAGTTCCTATCCTGAAATGTGCATTTTATATCAAAGACTTAAAATAGTCTAAATAAAATTTAAACATATATTACTGAAATTTAAAGAAAAAAAGCTAATTGTAAGATTATTCAAATAATTCTAGTCATACTGTTCGTATCACTCAACACTCAAAACGTCCAACAATACGGCCACGTCTTTTAAGCATTGAATTTTCCCCGTATTCGAGAAATGTAAACATGACACGTTTTTATCATGCTTATGTCTTCCTGTGCAATATTGAGTTAATAATTATAAAATTAAATGACAATTTTTTTCACCCCAAGGTCATTCTTCCCCTTAAAATTAATCGTACTTAGAACATTCTTAGGAGCATCAAAGCACTTAGGAGAGATCAACATCATATACAGGTGATATTTGAATGTAACTGCATAAAAAGGGAAGGTTGAAAATGGGAAAAAAAAACTGAAGTCCTCAAAATTTTATATAGCTTTTTTAGTTGGCAATCTACGTCTATAGTCTATAGTCTAAAACATCCAATTATACAAAAGATGTGACAGACCCTGTGGTGTTCTTTATATTTTGAGTTCACTGGGATAAATAGATTCTACACAGAAATAAAAATAGCTATTGTTCATTGATAAAACGTCGTCCAGAAATCTACAGTGTACATGTCGAATTGAAGGACGCAGCAAGTTCCTCTTCTCGTAGACGCTTCTTGATCTGAAGGTCCGGGTTCGATTCTCGTTCCCGGCGCCGAGTCAAACGCAGGTAGTGACTGTTCCTGAGCCAAGCGCCCTGCATTAGAAGTGACAGTCACGGAACCTTCAGATATGACGTAAAAACATACGTCCCAAGCCAAGGTAAGCGTTGGCACGATAAAGAACCTCCCTTGCTCAATGGCCCTGGGTGCCGAGTAAAGGTCTAAATTTGAAGCCCTTTACTGGTATTTGATGGCGTCTCATTTGAGTAAAAATTATCGCAAGAGACGTAAAATCATCAATAATTAATCAATCTTTTTATGTAGAAGATTTTTTAATAAATTCTTCATCATAAAAATTTGAAAACTGTTCGGTTCACAAAGGATTGCAAATGGGTCCCTTCGCAATTCCAACAGATTGTTGGAAGACCTGATTCCGAAGATAACATAGATATTGTCAATGAGGAACCCCATCATCTCTTCAAATTAAAGACCATGCTATTTGACATGCTAGACAAAAGCTTCTTAGAAAAAAATCAAACTCGCAAATTGTCTTATCTTGTTGATGGACATAGATATTAACAAGGCGCTAGAGGTACTCATTGGCAATATCTATGTTGTCTTTGGAGATGAAGTTTTCCAACAATCTGTTGGAATTCCCTTGGGAACAAATATTGTGCCTCATTATAAGCAGACATGATCTTGTATTTTTATGAAGAGAATCTATTCAAAAACTTCGTTAAAAAAAGACACCACGGAATCTGACACCTCTGTTTCGTATTTAGATATTTAGATTCTAGTATTTTACTGGAGACAGACATTAATGGCAACTAACAAGTAAACATTATGACAAACTAGCGATTTCAACTTTTTTAACGTCAACTTCCATCATTTATGTAGCAACATGCCATTATCATCTGCATATTGAGTGTATGTCTCCCAGTTGATTTGATGCGCAAGAGCATGGTCTTCGTAAGAACAATTTCTAAAACTAACATGCTAACAAATAGTTGATGATACAAGAGAATCTACAATCTCGTTTAAAGTTAACATTTGGACAAGTTTCTATGGACAATACAATGATCATGTATGCAAATATAATCTGTCATTAGGTCGAATGTAGACTGATGTCTTTCATACAAATTGGTAGGCCATTATTTTCATCATGACAAAGGAACAAGGCAGTTTTGAACGGCCGACAGGAAATGCTTCCGTGGCACCTTATCTCATCTCTGATGTTTTCAGAGGTCCGTACTGATTTGTATTGTTTCTTCGGACTTTTGGGCATGACTACTGTTCGTTAATTTCACATGTCATGATTTCATACAGTAAATTAATTCATGTTCATTTTTATGTAAAAGGTGAAGATAACGAACAGTGATAAATTTCATAAATCCACTAAAACAAAAAAAAAAATCGTGAACAGGACGAAAATACGGGGCCACTGGAAACACCAGAGGTGGTATTAATTGCCTAGGAGGAGTAAGCCTGTCGACCGGCCACACCCGCCATGAGCCCTATGTATTGATCAGGTGACCGGCCACACCCGCCATGAGCCCTGTGTATTGATCAGGTGACCGGCCACACCCGCCATGAGCCCTGTGTATTGATCAGGTGACCGGCCACACCCGCCATGAGCCCTATGTATTGATCAGGTGACCGGCCACACCCGCCATGAGCCCTGTGTATTGATCAGGTGACCGGCCACACCCGCCATGAGCCCTGTGTATTGATCAGGTGACCGGCCACACCCGCCTTGAGCCCTGTGTATTGATCAGGTGACCGGCCACACCCGCCATGAGCCCTATGTATTGATCAGGTGACCGGCCACACCCGCCATGTGCCCTGTGTATTGATAAGGTCGACGGAGTATCCAGTAGTCATAGTTAGTATGAAACGATGACCTAACAATGGGTATCACTCATGTCAATCAAAATACCATCCAACCTTTAGTTGTATATTGTAGACAATTGACCTAACAATGGGTATCACTCATGTCAATCAAAATACCATCCATCGTTTAGTTGTATATTGTAGACAATTGACCTAACAATGGGTATCACTCATGTCTATCAAAATACCATCCAACGTTTAGTTGTTTATTGTAGACAATTGACCTAACAATGGGTATCACTCATGTCAATCAAAATACCATCCAACCTTTAAGTATATTGTAGACAATTGACCTAACAATGGGTATCACTCATGTCAATCAAAATACCATCCATCGTTTAGTTGTATATTGTAGACAATTGACCTAACAATGGGTATCACTCATGTCAATCGAAATACCATCCAACCTTTAGTTGTATATTGTAGACAATTGACCTAACAATGGGTATCACTCATGTCAATCGAAATACCATCCAACCTTTA